CCCACTGAGACTAGGTGGTTGGTTCGACCAAAGGAGCATGGCACCATCACTCAAAACACGAGGGAATTGGTGAGATGAGTGGTCTCTCCTCCTCTGGCAGTGTTAGGCCTGGGAATTATCTTCTCAGAAACTGTAGAAAGCATGTCCTTTTGTGGGTAGGAGATCGTGGCCACCGAAGCTGAGATGCTCTCATCATTTGTATCCTGCCACCATTTACATTTGTACGATCACACAGAATGGTTTGTTAGGCAATAACTGGTTGGTTTAAAAACCTGGAACATTCTGAATGATAAATGGCCTTACTCTTGATTCTTTAAAATCTGTATCTAAAACATCAGTAAGGAAATAGCAATGAAGTAAAATGTTAAAACACACAGAAAGATTCTGATCATGTCTCTATCTATGAATGTCACATGTAAGAGTCATTAGTGTGGCCCACCAGATACTTCTATTTCATCTCATTCTTGACTCCCAGTTGAGAGCAGCCGTACGGGCTGCTCTGGCCAAGGACACGGGAGTGGAAGCGACGTGGCCCTCGCTGGCAGTGGTCAAAGACAGTGCGTGATCTGTCAGTTTCCCTCGGCCAGGGAAATCAGCAAAGCTCTGGGTAGCAGCGGCCCCATCACCCCATCCTGACCAAGGGTAATGTTGAAGAGCTTCCAGATGCCAGAAATGCACATATAGTAAGAACAAGAAGTCAGCCTTTCCCGTGTAATTCCTGATATCTGGGCGTTGCTTTTGATGCAGCCTGAGCTACCTTACCCTGACTAATCCATCAAGCATTCATACCCCTGTCCCATGGGGGCTTATCCTTGAGGTACTGGTGACAGCAAGAAAGAAAGTCCTAAAACCTTGACCCTCCACACACAGCAGAAAACAGTTGCAAAAGAGTTCTGCATTTAGATTGTTTTGCATTAAGATCAAGTTGAGTGGGACGCCTGGGTGGCTCAGTCGGTTAAGCGTCTCATCTCCCTTTGGCTCAGGTCATGATCCCGGGGTCCTGGGATCGAGTCCCACATTGGGCTCTCTGCTCAGCTGGGAGCTTGCTTCTCCCTCTGCCGCCCCACCCCCGCCTGCTTGTGCTCGCTCTCGTTCTTGCTCTCTCTCCCCCTCTCTGACAAATAAATAAATAAAATCTTAAAAAAAAAAAAAGACCAAGCTGAGTGTTTAAAAAAAAAAAAAAAACATACACAGTTCCTTATCACCATTCCCTGATAGGACCCACAAAATCCTAAACACACCCCCAAGTTCTCCTCAAGTGGTCAACCTGAGAAGACTGTCCTTGATTCGATGGAACTTCTGTCCTTGGGTTAAAAATGAGCCTGTATCACAGGAAATAAGTGAGATACAGATTTGCTGTGTTTGACGAAGACTTCTGCCAAGGACTACTTATAAGGGTCCTCCTTGGGGGATAACGAAGTGCCCCAGGATTCCACGAGCTGGTGTCATGACCAGCCCTAGGCCTGAGTGGGGCATAGGAGTGGCTGCCAGAGCCAAGAAAAAGAGAGAGAGAGAGCGAGCGCCAAGTTATAGGAGGTCTGACCTTTAGTTTTAGATGCCAGCTGTGGTCCTCAGGCACAGAGGCAGGTAGAGATGAGTAGAAAGAGGTGCTGAGGGACAAATGGGTGGAGTCTACCACCTCAAGCTTGGTCACCATAGCAACCAGTCCACAACAAGCGTGCTGTCAGATTTCCAACTTGCTTGGATTCAAGAAAGGGCATGACTTTGAAACCATCTTTAGCTTTGCTCATGACTTTCTGGGTCCAATAGGAAGCTCTGTTCCGGACCAGGCACTGGGTATGCACCAGAGAGTAGAAAACCAATGAGAAGATGACCCCTTTTTCTATCCTCAAGTCTGGTGGCTTTAGAGGAAGTTATCGCCAAGAGGACCACTCTTGTCTGAACTAGTGATACAAACCCAGGACACATCCATAAATCCACATTCTTTAATGAAACAATTCTTTCTAGACAGATATGTTAGCTCCTCTCCACTTTCTCTTTGAAACTAACATTTCATGAAATGCAAAATTAAACAAAATAAAAGGTACAACATATTTATAGATAGCACTCTGAACAGTTTTTCTTTTTTAAAAAGAAACCTTTTAGGCATTTGAGATTATTTTTCAGAAGTCCGGTCTACCAAGGAAACTTGAAAAACAAGGAAGCTGAAGCCAAGGGAACATTTGTTCAAAAACTGAACAACAATACGGCAAGTTATTTGAGACTCTTCGATTGGACCAGATCAGTGGCAAATCCCAGCGAGAATTCTCTAGTTACTAAGGTTTCACAAACAGTTTATACAGGCTGAGGGTTTCATGAGTAAGACAAAACTTAAGGAAAATGGTTTTAGAGTGAATCAATGCTCAGGCTCCTCATGTCCGTTTGGAGAAACCCCACAAGTTAGTTCCAGACCCTCACCCTGCCCTGGGATTCAGGCTCTAGCTTCTGTCAGACCAGATCACACCAGAACTGGACCAGGCCGATGACCTGGACTCCAAGTATTTCATCAGGTCACCAAGGTAATTCTGTGAACGTGACATCCCCAAGGCCTAGCACCCAATTACAGGACAAAGCGGGTTGGTACAATGTCCCCTGAGAGGACCTTCAGCAGGGGGCCTGGGTTTTCCTGCCGAGGGGACCTTCTGTTCCCAAGCCAGGGCATCAGTCCCCGAGTGAGCTTCCCGGGGAGCGGGCTGGCCAGCCCAGGCTGAATCAGGGCTTGTCTTGTCTGATGTCACTCGCAGAAGGCCTCACTAAAGGTTTTCATAAGCGTCCCATTGTTTCAAGCTGGCCAAGTTCGGTGTTTTTGAAAATATCCCTACTACAGAGATAAAAATAAGTACCATTGTTTCATGAGGGTGGCCAACCTTGAGGCAGAGCCAACTCCGTTTCTGACTCTCTCCCACTTTTCCATAGAATTTGTTGATTTTATTCAGATGTCTAAAATGTTGGAACGACAGGATTCTTCTGTCGCTGGAGCAAGACCTCTCGTAGCCACCTTATGTATTCTGGTTTCAGCTTCAATGTGGGCAGATATGATGAGACAAAGTAAAACCCCAGAAAATACAATACTCTGAGAGCTGGGATCCACCTTAGAGGGCAGGTTGGACCACAAGACAAGGGGCTCCCGCGGCTGAGCCCGAGTGCCCCTGGGGTAGGGCCTGGGAGGTGTCTGGATGTGAGAACACGGACTGAATCTTCATCCAGGGCCCAGAGAGGGACTGGGGAACGAAATGCATAAAACACAGGGCTGCTCCAGGAGGGCCCGCACGGTGAAGCTACGGTCAGCGGGTCGGCACTGGTCACACTGCGTCGATTAAGGCTCTGACAGCTGGTCCTTTAAATACATACATATATACACACATATATTATTATTAATAATAATACTTTGAATTTTTCTCTGTTTTAAGGAAAAAAATATTTCCATGCATTTCTTCTACCTTTCTATTATCCTTTGTTTGTTTTACTCCCAGCCATCATTTTAATTAGACAGAGTCCTCTGAGGGCACATTCTGATCTTCAAAAAATATAACTTTTAAGCTTTCACAAATACTTTGTTTACAATGACGTCGTATCATCCCAGAGGAATTCTGGTGCTCGGGAGCTATCTCGGATCTCACACGGGAAACACTCTCGTGTGCTGTCCCGTGCTCAATACCAACCCCACAGGACTTAGAGCTATGTAAACATTATTTAAAAATTATTCCAACATAAATACTCTTTTAAAGCTAACATACCACAGCTTTTAGCTCATAATGCCCATAGATGCCTTAATGAAATGCCATTCAAAACTACCTCACTGTTTAAAAGTACACGTGGAGGTTCTAAAATTATGTAAACAACATCCTCTACATGTCCTCTAGAATAAGTGCCAAGTGTGGCGAATTCTGATTGCAAGCTGGGGGTCGAGTACCAGTTGGCCTGAGCGAAGTTACCAACGCACTCCGCAGCCTGACTGGTGACAGGAAGTTAGTCTCAGGTTGACTGTTCCCACAGATGATGCATGAGTCCTACATGACTTACAATTCCGTTTTCAACAGTGTTTGCCGCACGGGGACCTGAACTCGTCCCTCATGGGCTGTCTTTGCACATCTTGCAAATGCAGTTTGAATCAGTTGTCTAGAAGTCAAGGTCAACCACAGCAAGTGTCTCCAACGCTGGAGGAGGAAATGGTCTTCCAAGTCCATGGAATCCCAAGCATAGGTGGCGGTCTTCTGAAGTCAGCCAGGAGGGGTGTCAGGAGAAGCCAGGATGTTTTCTTCTCAGCACACTGGGGAGTCTCACCAGCAGATATGTTGTTAGAGTTCACAGTGGCTGCTTTAGCCTCCCAAGGAGGAAGCCCGAAGTGGCAAGGAGAGCCAATGACCCAGAGGGAAGGCTTGAGGTCTACCAGTGTGGTGAAAGTGACGATCACACTCCAGCTCCCTCTGTGCACTGCCTCCCGCAAGTTCTTTTCCAGGCCTGAGATCCGTGTTCTCAGGTTTCCTGGTTGACATGTCCCTGGCAGACAGAAAGTGAAAGTCTCCAGCCAAAGCTGTGAGTCACAAATCAGCCATGGCCCAGCATTTATCCTCACTGCTCAGTGTGGACAGAAGATAGCCTGAGTCTCCAGGACACAGTCACATTGCCTGTCACCTGGCAAAGCATGTCCAGAAATAGAGGCGTGACCAACCCAAGGGCAGGCATCTTGCCCCACAGGAGAAAGGGACAGGAGAATGAGTATGACCAGGCATAGCTTGAGTGGCAGGTGATTTCAAAACCTTAATCTTCTCTCAAAGTCCATGATTGATAACATTATGACCCCAAAGAAACATCTTCCCTCCTTCTTCTTGGCTGAACCTTACCAGATACATACCTCCAAGACTAGATTTTGAGTTCTTGTTTGAGAAGAAAAAAAAACAAAAAACAAAAACACAACTCTACATTGGTTTAGGGCAGATTCACAAGGTGCTATTGTCATAAAACACATTCTCAGTTCCCGTCTTTCATGAACATTGACATCATTTCTTCATGTGCAAGGCATCCTGGAACTTGGTGCTAGTATATCGGGCATGAAAGCCTTTCTTGTTGATGGTGTCATCCGTGTGGAACTGAATCATCAGAGAATCTCCTGCAGAGTAGATCTCTTCCAGTGGCTGAGGAGAGGGCAGAAGAAAACCAGGGGGACATCAGGTCAGTTGGCTGTGGCTGGAGTTTTAAATACGGAGGATGAGACAGAGGTTACATGAGAACACAGGCAGGTCTGTGCTGCCACAGGGCGTCCCAGGTACCAGAGACTCTGAAAGGCACTGACACAAGCTCCTTTTCAAAGGAAAACATTGCCTTTTCTGCTCCAGAGAAGAGCTCCCCAGGCCCTATGATTTCAAAGACAGTCCTAGACCCACAGCTTATATGGACTCTATGGGTTATGAAGGGCACAGATGGGCTGAGGACTATTCCGACCGCTTTCAGATCTTACCTCATGTAAACCTGACCAGGGGGGTGTTATCTCCATTTTACACTTATGAAAACTGAAACTCGAGATCACACAGCTAATCAGGACCCCAGCTCAGGTCTTTCTGACCGTGAGGTCACTCCTGGGATAGATCTCCCAGCAGACCAAACACCAAAGCCCATGCTTGTGGCCCAGACCCTGTCCAGGAGTGAAATACGGCACGGAGCCTCTGTATTTGTCACAGAGGTGTCACCAAGGGCTCAACGAAGGGGAGCCAGGCTCTGAGGCTGCTGTCTTCCAGGGCGCAGTGGGACCTAAATGGGCTTCCCACACAACTCACTGGTTGGGACTCTCCAAAGTTTTCCTCTGCACGTAGGCCCCACAGTCTTTGAAAGACTTTATCAAAGGCATAGCATTGGTCAGGTCACACTTTATCATCCTTTCTTTTCAGGAAGGCGAGGGAAGATGATGGGAAATTATTCAGAGACCGATATAAACACCATTTTGAGGTTCGGATCAGCACGAGAGGCACTCTTGACTCCAAAATGAGCTGATGTAAATTCAGCTGACAGCAGAGAAGCTTGTGCAAACAGCCCCGGAGGCCAAGACAAGGAGAGGACAGGGGCCCAGTGGGAGCGGCGCCCCCTGTGGCTCAGGCAGAGCCTGACCGGGACCCCACACCAGCCGGTTCACACACTTGCCCCAGGTGCCAGCTTCTAGGTGAGGTACAGGGAAACAGTGACCAACCCAGGACTGCCCTGTTGGGGGTAGGGAGCTGAGGAGAGAGGTGACAATGAGAAAAATGATGAGGACCCGGAGCCCAAGTGTGTGTTTCCAGTAAGACTCATCATTCCCTCAGGCATTTGGATTGCCTGGGGAGAGACTTGTGAAGACGTGAGATATACAAAAGCATGACTTAAAACAAGTTTAAAAGCCTCAAAGCCCAATCAAAATGGAGGTGGGGGAGGATAGGGAGCCCTTTGCAAACATGGGAGGAAAAACCTCAAGGAATGCGCTCTGACAGGGCCTGCATCAGTCAGGGACCCTCCTGATGGGCTCCCAGGTTACTCCCCGCCTTCTCTCTGGACCCCTTTCCCCTTCCCCAATTCGCTCCAGCAGCAGGGGCCGCCCCCCGCCCCCCCCCCCCCCCCCCCCCCCCCCCGCCCCCCGCGGGCCCCCCCCCCCCCCCCCCCCCCCCCCCCCGGTCTGGCACCCGGGGTGTCTCAGGCACCCTGTGCACTCACCCCAGAGCCGCAGAAGCGGCCGAGCCTGGGCGCGGTGCGGTCGTAGCCGTCGTAGGCCTCCATGTAGTCGTACCCACAGTCGGCCTCCTCCTCCACCTCAAAGGTCCGGAAGATCAGCTCGACGCCATAGCCGTCCTCCGCCACGATCACCCAGTCGCAGCGGGCATGGCTCGGGTAGTTGTTGTCCCCAAACTGGGCGTGGGAATACAGCTCTTTGGTCTGCACTTCAGCCTTCAGCCTGCCCCCGCACTCTGGAGCAGAGAGACAGCCGCCCCGTCCCCTTGGCACAGAGACCCGTGGGCCACCCCCGCCCGCTTCCCGGCCCGGGCCTTCTCTCTTCAACCCTGATGCTAGCCTACTTTCTCTAGGGGACCTTGCGTGTGCCCTGTAGGAAAGTCTGGCAGGTTCCCTCATCCCATTTTACAGAGGCGTAAACAGAGGCCGATAGGTCTGAGTTTTAGGGCTTGCTGGGTGGGGTGGTGGGGGGCGGGGTCCAAATTGGCCCTTCGCAGCCAAGGTCCTATGTTGCTGGATTGGGTCACATAAGGCCTCTGGGGAATTCCTGAGCAAGCTACTGAAAAAAACTGGCTGGTTGGATCTCTACCACCTAATTACCTGGAAGTTCTAGAAGCACCAGGGGGATCTTGAGCCCCAGCGGCTTACTGTAATTTTAACTGCTGCCAACAGAGGGCACCCAAAGCACATCAGAACCACCGGTCACTCTCAAACCCAGAAACCTCAGATTAGACACTAATTTGCTCCAGCATCTGACAGTGGTGAGAATAGACTGACTTTGAGGCTCCTGGGGGTGTCACGAGTGAGGTGAGCCTCACACTTTGGGCTTGTATTCTGCAATGCTGGCTTCTGAGTTTGTGACTAAGACTATAACTCTGGTTGGCCTGGGTCCCACACTATCTTGTCTAGGCCACTAGAGGCCACATAAAAGAAACGGATAAAGGAGAGTGAGCACCAATTAGAAAGTGGCAGAAATTCTGAAGGCAAGTTCCTCCACTGCCTGTCCTCAATGTGCTCCACGCCTCCAAGGGTCCGAGCTCCCCATGGTGTGGCTTCTGTGTGGTCCAGTCCTGCCTGACTGCCGACTCTCAACCCCACATGCTCTTGCTAAGAATTGCCTCCAGGTCTGAGTTGTCTTTGGGAAATTTCGAGTCCCTGAGATGTGACATGTTAAGTGGAAGGAAAATAATGGGTAGTAGAAACATTTTCCATTTTCCAGAACTTAGGAGATGACAGGGGCTGCTCTCTGCCCCTCAGCTCCCAGACTTTGGGATTTCATGGACCAGCAAGCTTACAAATATGTTTTGGAAAGAGGATGGGAGGGAGGGAGGGCGAGAGAAAAGAAGTGTGCCCCACAAAGGGTTGCCCACTTTAAATGTTGATTAAGGACATTCAAAGAAAACAACTCTTCCCCCTACAGTTTCACTGTTACAGGGACATGTGACGGCGCACCTCCCACCCCCTAGCGTCAGCAGGAAAGGCGTTTGTCTCCCTGCATCAGTGGCCATCTAGGCCTAGCCCCGTGGGCCTAAGCGGGCTGTACCTGTGCTGTGAGTCGCCTGGAAGCCTTTCCTCTGCACAGACGCATCTGAATAGAACCTGAGAAACAGGCTGCTGCCTGAAGCCACCACAGGGTCCGGTTTCTTGCTGCCGCAGAAGCGGCCAAGGAGGGGGGCCCGGCTGTCAGGCCCGTCATACAGCTCCAGGTGGTCATAAGCACATTCTTGGTGCTGCTCGATCTCAAACTCGTTAAATGTCTGGGGATGGAAGAGCAGAAGGGAAGCAGGGGCCTGGCACTCAGCCAGGGCGAGGGCCACCTCTCCGGGGGCTGGGAGAGGATGGGGTGCATGGGACACTCTCTTCTGGTTCCCAAAAAACCCTACGAGGTAATCACAGGAGCTACTGCTGCTTGAGCACTTCGCAGCTGAGATGGCCGGGCTCCTCTGTCCCATCACAAGGATCCTTCTCACTTAATGGGGACAACAGCAAAGATCAGGTACTCCCTCTGGGTCAGGAGCTGTTTAGAGTGCTTTACAAATATAACCATATCATCCTCACATCCCTGTGCTGTGTCTACCTCTACCATCCCCACTTTACAGATGAGGAAACTGAGGTCAGAGCAGTCAGGTGACTTGCCCAAGGTCACCCACTGGTAGGGCTGGAGGTCCAGCTGCAGAGTCCCCGCCCTCCACCTTTGTGCTGTGCTGTGCAATCCTTCAGTACAAATGATGGGACAAGGCTGTATGAAATGTACACTGTTCCTCGTCTATATCCTCATAGTGGCTGGCATTTGAGGAGTTTTTCCTGTGCCAAATATTCATGAGCATTTTCTCACTTAATTCTGGGACTAAGAGGGAGGGACTAAAACTGAGTCTTAGAGAAATATCTTGCCCAAGAGTATTGCTCCAAGCTAGAGGAGGCAGGAACTGGACTTAGTCCCCAGCCAGCCTGATTCCAGCCCACAATTCTAACCTTCACCAGGCTATATTGCCCACCTCCTCCCTGTCCCCCAAAGCTGGCCAGGGGAGCCCCTCTATTCCAGGCCATACACCAAGCTTCACAACTCCAAATGCAGAGCTTCTTAGGGACCGGGCAGCTGAATGACTGATGGCCTGCCCACAGCTGCCAGGAAGATGGGACAAGTGAGAGGCGACAGGGTTAGACGAAGGCTTGAACCAAAGGACAGAGCAGGAAGAGAAGACATTAGTGGGGGGTGAGGGGAGTCTGAATTCATAAAAGAGTTGCTGGAGAGACAGGACAGGGATGTTGGTAGAGAGGGATCATTAGCAGTGTGGGCTTTCACAGGAATGACAAACAGTAGAAACAGGCAAAGCTCTTCACACCTTATAGAAGGGGAGCTGGGATTGGGGGTGGTATAGACACAGTGGGCAGAAGCAGGAGGGGAGACCTGCAGCATCAGGGTGGGTGATGCAATGGGAGAGACACCCATGGGACACCCTGTTGCTGCCCCCCCTTACAGTGAAACACCAGCTTTTTGGGAAGTATTCAATTCACATATTCTGGTAGCAAAAGAACATGATCAAGATATCCACCATGCACTTCCCAAGGAAGTTTTTTTTTAAAAACTAGCACATATACGTATGAACGTCATATAAATTTGGCCTAACTCTGGCCCCAGTGATCAATTGTCTTAGTTCCTTAGCGTAAAGAAGGGGAAGACGTTGGGCTGCTACAAAAACCTTGAGGCCCTGGGACAGAAGCGCTGTTTCCCACTGCACAGGCTGCGCGTTCCCACTTCCAGGGGGCGCCATTCCCCCGCCGAAGCCGGAGCTGTATGTTGCCATTGCGAACCTTCTCCAGCAGAGGGCAGCGTTGGGGGGCGCACGACACCAGCGCACTCTGGGGGGTTCCCCAACCCCCCAGATTCAAGGCGGTTCTCACACCCAGGAAAGCCACCGACAGCACTTCCCACATGGGCAGCCGTGCATATGAGGTGCTTGCTGTGAGCACCCTGTGGTCACGGGCTCCGCCTTCGCCACCGCTCGCTGCCCAGGGCCTGGCACAGACAGACCCCAGCACCAGCGCTCTATTGTGGGCGCCCATTGACCCACCTGTCCTCCGCACCGCCCTCACCCGCCAGTAAACGCCCTGGCAAGTCCCCTGGCCATCGTCTGCTTATTATCACGTTCTCCTCTGTTCCCTTCCATTCTCCCTGCATTTTTGGCCCATACTTCAGAGGAACATCCATATGCTTTCTGGAGAGCTTGCAAATCGCCAGAGTCAGAAGAACCAGTTAGAAACCGTCTGTCTAGGGTTCACCTCCTCTGGCTGGCGAGAGGGTTTGCTTTATACTCCAGGATCCGGGAGCCTCTGGGGGCTGAGAAACGAGACTTGGACCAGAGACTCAGTTCTCCTCTGAAATAACCGAGCACAGTGTGCGCACCGACAATCGTATGCACGAGAGACTTTAATTTTTTAATTCAAGAGAGAATACGTATGAGTAACCTAACCTCCCATTGTTGATTTTTTAAAAATGTAAGTTATAGAGGAAGATGAATGATAAGAGTCCATTCAAGAAGTCTGGGCAAGAAAAAGGATATATATTTTTCCCATGCTTGTACGTACATTATTGTATTTGCATAGGAAATGTCTGGTAGAATTTACCAAAAAAGTTCAGAGAGTTCATTTCTGAAGTGGGCATGGGGGGTCTAGAAGATTTTGAGTTCCACTTTCCAATGTTCTGTACTGTTTACTTTTTTTTAACCTTGAGAATGTATTGTTCCATCAAAAATTACAGCTGGAAACAACTGAACGTCAGCTCTTTCAATCTGTGCAGGGAACGCCCCCTCCAACCAGTACCACTTCGAATAGGTGCTATTTAGAGAGATTTCCTTGCCCCCCTCCCCCCTGAACGCTGTGCAGCGGCCCCACGAGGAAGGCTTCATCAGCAACACCATTTTCCAGATAATGAAACCAAGTCCTGGAAGGGTTGAATTTCAACTTTCTCAAGTTTCAGAGCCCGGAAGAGGCAGAGCAGAAATGCAACCCTACCACCGCACCCCCCCCCGTGGGTCTGAAACCAAAGTCCGTGTTGCCCGTCAACTATGAAAATGACTCACAAGTTTCACACGGTGGCCCGCGGTGGAAGAGATGTTCCAGGTACACTCCCTCCGGCTGGGGTACTTGTCGGGCCAGTTGGGGCTTGCCAGGGTCCCCTCCGCACTGCTGATCCTGTGGGCACAGCCAGCTGGAGGGGGGTGCGGAGACACATGCAGAGAGAAGCAGGTCACTGGTGGACAGCCCCAGAGGCCCTCGGGGGGGAGCCTCCATCTTTCATTCGTGATGGGGTCATTATCAAATGTGGGGGCAGGGGTCAGCCTGAGTCAAGTGTCCTCTGGCTAGAGAGTTTATTTGGATTTGCTGCCTTCCTGGAGGCGCTCCAGTGGCCCGTTTTCCCCACTATTCCTATTCATGTCATGGTTATCCTTGGAAAGAGGGTAGGTAGTGGTTGAGACCACAGGCACTGGGGTCAAATGGACTTGGGTGCATCGCCTGCAAGCCGTGGGACTTGGGCACTTACCTAAGTCTCGGTGTCCTTATTTGTAAAAGGGGTACCCACGTCGTAGGGGGATATGTGGACTAAATGAGACAATGCATGTAAAAGGCTTAGCAAGTGCCAACAGAGGCCTTCATCACCATGCCTCCCACGTATATTTGTTGTAGATTTTTGAAGCAGCTTCGTTTGAAGGCCACAGATGTTGCCTTGGCTATGGTGTTGTTAGCAAAGAGGGTTCCCATGACTTGCTCAGTGTGCAGTGTCTCGGTCAACCGCTAGAAGGTGTGCTGGGCACGACGCTAAGCATTTTGAATGCATTCCCTTATCTGCTCCTTAACACTTTGCAAATGAGAAAATAACTTTAGAGATGGAGAGTGACTCGCTGGTAAGGGGTGGGAATGGGACTTGAACTTGGGCCCGCCTTTGGTATAAAGGACAGGAAACAGAGGGAGCTGAGGGCCTCATCAGCCCCATCACCCTCACTGCATCCCAACGCTGCCCTGCGGCTGCAGGATGAGGTGCCAGCGCCAGCGGGGGCAGTGGAGGGCTGGTCAGGGGAAGGAGGAAGGGGAGGGGGCAGGCAGCAGCTGAAGGGAGGTTCCTGCTCATCGCTGCCTCGGCCCTGCAGCTACACAGAGGACAAATGCCAACAGGGGCAGGGGCTCAGCGTCTGGGACATTTGCTGCTACACCCCTGTCCCACTCCTGGAGGAGCCCATAGGAAGGCAGCCAGTGTTTGGATGGCGGGACCTTAGTCCCTCCTGGCCTCCCCCACGCCACAGGGGGCAAGCCTTATACCAACCCACGACCACCCATGTCTATGTCACAGGGCTGGGGTTGGAGGGTGGCCGCACCCTGCTTCTGAAGCTGTCTCAGCTCATTCTGTAACACCCCAGGCCGGCCTGACCATATGTTGTGCACCCCTATCAGATCTCCTACCTTGGAAAGGCTTATCCCAGAGCGGGGGGCCTGAAGTCTTTACTACTTCCCTCCCAACCTCCTCCTCTGCAGGGCACTGTACTGGGGCCAAGACCTTAGAGGCCTGTGTGCTTATCAGAGATGCTCAAACTCCCTTCACAAGGTAAGGTGAGAACAGAGGGAGGCTCTTTCCGGAATGACTGGACATTTAAAGGCATCTGGCCTTGAACTCCCAGTGGTAAATGAAGCAGGAAGCAATCTTTTTAGAATTCTATTTTACTATTAGAACTGTGTATGAGAACAAATATAATGAAATAGATGGTTGATATTTATTGACATGTCAGGGTCTCTATAGGTGCCCAAATTGTCTGAAATTCTTTGTAGGCATGCTTTCATCTACTCCTCACACACCTTTAAGAAGAGGGTCTGTTTAGTCCCTTTTAAACAGAAGAAATGGAAGCTCAGAGAGGTTAAAGAACCTGCCCACGGTCACACAGCTGGTAAGTAGCAGAGTCAGGATTTAACCCTAGATAGTCTGATTCTGGAGCCTGGGGGTGTACCCGCTTTGTAACAGTAACCCCAGGAGGGTGCCTGAGGCACCGAAGCCTGCGGAAGGAGGGAGCTGCCCTGGGGAAAACCACGCTTTGGGAGGAGGGAAATCAGAGAAGGACCCCTCGCTCACACTCTCACACACACGTACTCTCTGGAGGCCAAGGTCAGCCTGGCCTCCCAGGTGCGGTGCGGCCTCACCTTCCTTGCAGTCGTGCCCGTTCTCATGGAGCCGGTACCCATTCCTGCAGCGGCACAGGTAGCTCCCAGACGTGTTGACACACTCGTGCTGGCACCCGCCGTTGTCCTTGGCACACTCGTCCTTGTCTGAGGAGAGTGACAGTCTCTCAGGGCAATCCCCTCGTATCTTGGAGCTCCACTCAAAGGTAGCCTCCACCAGGGAGGCTCCCCGATTGCCCAGGGGTGGGCGGGGGCAGCATCTGGTGGGTGGTCCTTGGTCCTGCCGTGTGCTGAATTCCCTGTACTCCTAAAACACTTAAACAAACATCTATGTCCTTTAATCCTGCTGCCTGCCCTGACAAGGAGCTCCTTAAAGGGGAGGCTAATATTAAGAATAGTCCTAGGAACAATAATACAAGTAACTGCCGTGAATTGAATATTTATGTGATGGGCACTCCCCGAAGCAGTTTCATATAGCATCTAAGTCTGTTCTCATACAACCTGAGGAGCCAGGTGACTCTGTCCCCATTTTACAGATAAGGAGACTGAGACTGAGGACACTAAAGTGCTCAGGGCCACTCAGTGATTGAGCAGCCTGCGTGACCCGGAAGCCTGGGCTCCTTCTCCCTGACCCCATGCCCCCTCTGGCCTGTGGAGGAAGGAAGCATGTGGGCCCCAGGCAAGACGGCCCAACACCGGTCCTGCTCTACCGCTCCCAGGTCTTGTGCCCTTGGGCCGTTCTTGACTTCTGTGCCTCAGTTGCCTCACCTGTAAAATGGAGTCAGTATGTGTCCTCACCTCATAGGGCTGTTGGGAGGAGGAACTAAATTGGTATGGGGGCTTAAAACGGAGTCCAGCTCAGAGTAAGTGTTAGCTTGTATTTGCTCTACTGTCCCAGCTCAAGTCCTAGCTGTTGTTGTCACTGCGGTTTTTGTAGCTCAAGCCACCTCCTTCTGGCGACAACCAAGCACAGGCCTCCCTCCCCAGCCCTCGACACAGGGATCACTCCGGGGCTCACTGGCGTCTCCCCGCCCTCGCCAGACCTGGTGATAATGTGTCACCGAACACTGTGTGCTTTAGTTTCATGAGGACAACGAAGACTTCTTAAAGAATAAGGAGGTGAAACCCACCCAGCACTTAAGCACAGGGACCACAAGCTAGTTAGAGGCCAGGAAGGACTGTGCTGAGAGGAGTAGGTGGGTGCCCCAGAGGCTGAGAGCCTGCCCAGACCTGCCCCCTGCAGCCCGTGACCTCGCCTCCAGACCTGCACACCTGAGAAGAAGTGGGCTCTGAAGCCACGCTTGGAGACCGTGTTGTCTGACTTGAACTCCACACGCATGTTGTTGCTCTGGGAGGTGATGACCTCGGGCATCTCAGAGCCACAGAACTTGCCGTGCAGCCTGGCATCAGGGGACAGGCCACTGCGGACCTCCACAAAGTCATACTTGCAGACCTACAAGACAGCGTGGTAGGGAGCCCTCCGGTACTCCCATGGCTCCAGCCCAGACTCCCTACAGGACCCCTTCCTGACAGCCACACCCTCCGCCAGTCCGGGGGAGCATCCTGTCAACTCCTACTGGGATCCCTCTGGCCCAAGGTATAGACATGGGGCACTCACGCCGAGCACTCCGGGGGTGGGGGGGCTCTACCTGGGCCTTGGTTGACTTGCTAATCCCACAACCACTGCCCAAGGGAGGGGAGCGGCCATTCCTACTATCCCGGTCCCCAGCTGCATCTCACCCCGGCTGTTCCCCTCAGCTGGACACTAACCCACAGACTCCAACCTCGAGGGGACATACTTGTCATGACCACCTCCCATCCCCAACGCCTGCCCCCTTCGCTCTGGTCCTGCTTCTCCTTGGATTCAGCCCCCGACTGTAGGAAGCAACCTCCCTGCCGGCCGAGCCCCTCACGGCTTTGCAGCCCCGAGCCACCGCCCGACACAGTCAGCTAGAGCGCAGGAGCATACATCATTGCCTTCCAGCTCAAACACTTCAAACTGAAGGGAGATCCTGTGCTGGGCAGGGGCCACCACCTGCCAGACGCAGTTCTTGTTGGTGGGGTACTCCTTCGGCCACCCTGGGCTGGTGATGGTCCCGTTCAGCTTGGTAATAAAACCACCACAGGCCACTGCATGGGAGAAACAAGAGGAAAATTCATTTGGTTTTAGTTCCAAGTGACTGCGATTTCCCCCAAGCAGCGATGAGCCCTGCTGTTCTTCAATAAAAATAAAAATAAAAAAAAGTTTGATAACCTGAACAGATTTATCCAGCATCTTTCCCTCTAGTCTGTTTCCACGGAGGATCTGGAGGGATGACGCTGAGGACAAGTCTTTGCCACTTTGTGAAAGGATGACCATACTTCTGTGCTTACCGGTCACTCAGTGGCAGAGATGGGGACCAAGTGACTTGGACCAAAGGTGACTGAGGAATGTTTGCAGGAAGCTACGCACCTCACCTGCTTCTGTGAGCAAGCAGCGTCACGCCGGTGGGCAAGGGAGACAGAATACCATCCCCGTAGAAACGGAATGAGTGAAATGGGCTATTAGTTGCATCCCTTGAAAGTGCCTGCAGTTTTCCTTTTGTTTTTATTTTTTATCTGAATAATCGTGTGAATGTTTCACGGCCGCAGAAACTAGACTACGGCTCCGGCTGCCGTGTCTGGGGTGGAATTCTTATAATCTGGGCAGCCCTCTCACATTGGTGACTCGATGGGGTTGTTCTTCCTTCCAAGAGCCAGGGGCATCCCCCACCATGGATCCCATCAGCTTGCCCCCAGCCCACAGCCCCCTCACCTCCCCACGTCTCCTGAGACTTGTCCCTGACCCCTTCCCATTCTAGCCTTGCAGGTCCAACACCAACCTTCACACGTCTTCTTGTCGGCGGCCAGCTCATAGCCAGGATCACAGGAGCACTTGTAGCTGCCCAGAGTGTTCACACAGCCCTGCTCACACCCGCCGTGATCTGGCCAGGAACACTCGTCCACCTCTGTTGGAGAGGAAGGGGACCCGACTAGATCGTCACCAAGCCGCCTGGTCTGCTCCCCATCCCATTCCCCATTGCAGGGTCCCCGGAAAATGTCCTCTGAGAACAACAACAGCTTTTGGTGACCCCCTCCCCAGGAGCCTCACATCAATGTCTCAGAAACCAGAAGCAGCTCTAGCCAACACGGAGGTCTTGAGAACAGAAGAGTAACTTGTTAGCCAGAAGCAGGGCCCCTCTGGAGGAGATCAGGCCTGGATGATTTTGTTCTTTGAAGGGTTCAGTCAGGGAATACAGTGTGATTTTTAAAAAATCCCACACCAAAAACGTCATCAGTTTTAATGCCATGGAACTGGGATTTTCCCCAAATATGGAATTTCGTAGGGACATTAAGCGAAGGGTAAGAACAAAGGGGCACATTTCTAGATGAAGATGTAGAAGTATTTTCTAGAGATAGAACCAGAACTTGTGATTTAGTATTTTAGAAATAATCTGAAACAGTGTGCTCAGGGAGAACTTCAAGGTTACAGAAAATGCTGAGCTCTTAGGTTAGCCAGAACTCCCAGGAGAAAGTACAGGAAGGGGCCACAGTGAGACTGAGTTAGCAGGGGACTTGGACGGGATTCAGCGCTGACAAGTACGTAGTGATATGTTGGGGGCAATTGCAAACAGCAGGTGGGATGCCAGGAGAGTCATCCGGAGAAGGAACCCGGGTCACTGGAGAATCTGCCCGGAAATGTCAGTCCGTGCATCCCTGGAGGAAAGAAAAACCCGGGCCATGGGCATCTCCAAGAAGAGGATCAGAAATAAAAGGAGAAACTAATCATTTTCAGTTGCCAAGCTTGGGTGCATCTACCCTTGAGAGGAGACACTGTGGCCTCACCAAGCCAGAGAGCGGAGCAAAGGGACAACAAAACCCTGAGGTATCTTCCAACATAAGACAAAACCAAAAAAGCCTGATGTGGGAGGAAGAAAGGGAAGGGGTGGCATTGGTTCCTAACAGCACAGAAGGAATACAGCGAGCACAGGGTTGGCCACAAAATCTTCAAAAGCCCACATTACACATAAAATGAGAGAAATCAGGACATCTTAGAGTTGGTGAAGTCCAGGAAAGACCCCCCAGTCCTACCCTTATGCCATGACCCTTTTATTAATATTTCTTATGGATGGCTTTGCAGACCCTGCTTGAAATCACTAAGAGCTAGGACTCTCCCTGCTTTCCAAAAGTATTTCTCATCCTTTGAAATGTGAATTTTCAAAATTCTGGCCCCTTGCAATGTCCACCCCACTGGTCCTACAGCAAAAGCAAACCCTGCAACCAGGCTGGCTCCCTCTGCACTGCTCTTTCCCCACTCAAACAGACCCGTTTCCTTCCAGCCTTCCTCATCTATGGGGCACAACACAATCGTCTACCTACTCACTCTTCACTGGGTAAAGAACGGCGTGTGAATGTCCCATCGTGACACACAGTGGGCAGTAAACTTGGGTGATTCTAAGAGTGATGTGTTGTTGGGCTCAGCCAAAGCTTAAATGAACTGGCCAGTAGGGGAACTGAGTGTAGGAGACATGCTCTAGGCAGGGGGTTGAACTTGTCCATGGCCTCAAATAAATGTAAATATGAAGTATGCTAAAATAGTAACAATCCTCCGATTACTTATTGCTTTACAAGAGGCAAAGTGCTTTCTTTGGCATTTGCTAGAAAGAATAGGAGGAGGGAGAATCAATAATAAGGAGAAATGGGGAGTGCAGGCTTCTAGGGTGAGCCAGACAGACCTCGGTTGGATCCATACTGGATCATGCCCCCAACAGATTGGATGATTTAATCTCTCTGAGCCTTCTTCCTGCTTTAAAATTAGAATAGTATCTGCTTTTAGCATGGTCGGAGCTGAAAATGACATCCAGTACACAACAGATCTCACTACAGAAAACAGTAGGGCTGCTTTCAAAATCCCGGTGGGTGGAGAGACACAATGATGAGGGCAGTGAAAGGGATAGGGTTACCTGGGCATACCTGAATCAGGTGAGAGCAGAGTAGTACAGGCCTGAGGAGGGGAAAGGGACAAGGCAGAAACAGAAAGAAGGACAGTGTGTCAAAGATGGGCCAGTGGAGAAAAAAAAGAGATGGGCAGAAAGGCAGCACAGCAGAGTGAAGAAACTGGCAGGTGGGTGCAGGGGGAGGGTAGAAAAGAATGATGGGAAAAGCCCATCAAAATACACCAAGATAAACACGGATCAAGTCAGGGGCCAGAGGGAGACTCTGATGCCAGAAGGCGATATGGCTATGGGAAGGACACACGATTGTCATAGGTAAGAAAGGGAAGACCACAGATGAACAAGTGTCTAGGGGCCATCTTAACCCATGTGCGGGGAGAGAGGATGGTAGATTGGTTTTGGGACTAAGGCAATGGGAATATAGTTCCTCCAGGGAACTAGAAGGGTAGGATGTTTGTTTGCCCCAGGAAGGTGGGCGAAAGCTGTAGAGTCACATCTGAGCTTCCCCCAGCAAAAGCAGTCGCATGTTTGGCCATTTTCAACCCTACTTCAACTTGGATGGATGGCGTGGAAGTGTACCAGGGGCCCTGCTCTCAGTGGGAGCCTGGGTATCCTTGGAATCACCTCCACACTGTGATGAAGCGGCATCTGTTCCAAGCCCACAGATTCATGCTTGCTCTGGGCCACAATGGTCAAGGCCAAGCCTCCTAGAAAAATCTGGGAGATGGTGAGGGGTAGGAGAAAAAGCAGAAAGGTAGGGCTCAGTCTTACCGCGTCATAGCTCTGTCTTCTCTGCCTTCTTCAAGTGGTATTAGTAAAAAAAAGAACCATTCCGTGTTTAGATAATGAGATGGCTCGGGTAAGATGGCAACAATTGTTTGCAGAGAGAGAGAGTTAAGGAATGAGAAGGCAGGACACATCCCTAAGCTTTTGAAGAAACACCTGAAGGAAGCCGGTCCCCCTTATCAACCCCCCATGGGGGTCCGCTGGCACTGGGACAGAGGAGTGTGGGGGTCAGTGTGGAAATCATGCGACCAAAATGGCCAACCCTCGAATGCCGCCATCTCCTAAAGTAAGCGGAGTTGAGCTCTGCCGGCTGCCAGGCCAGCGGGCTCTGAGAGAGACTGCCATCTGGCACCGGGAGGGGCGTGTGGAGGCCAACTGGCACGGTGGCCAGTGCCATGCGCCAGCTGGGCTCCGGGCAGAGCCTCCTGCCAACTGGCACCAAGGCAAGACTTTCTTTCACTTGGTCCAACTCTTCTGCGTGGACTTTGTGGTTCCTCTTCCAGTTTCTTTCATGGGAGAAGTCCTGACACACGCCCTGGGCACTGTGTGTTCCCAGGACAGCCTACCGATGGCTTTTCCGGAAAAAGACTGGGCAGAGGAAGCTGGCTGTGTCCAGTCCTGAGGCCTGTACTGACCAACGTGGTCGCCCTCAGCCCATGTGGCTGTCCAGCACTCGCAATGCAGCTTGTCCAATTTCAGGTGCACTGGCAATGTAAAAAGGCACCAGATTTCCAAGACGTAGAATGAAGAAGCCCATAAAATATGCCACTAAGGTTGTGTATATGAATTACTATTAAAACGACAGTCTTGTGTGTGATGGTAAATGATCATAAAATTGATATATTGGGTTAAATAAGATACATTCAAATAATTGCACCTGTTTCTTTTGGTGGGGAGGGGGAAGGGTGGCTGCTAGACAGTTGGAAATGACATCGGGGGATCACCTTTGTGACGCCTCCTATTTCTGCGGGACAGCACTGCTCTAAAGTGTGGTCTCGCCTCATTCCTCCTCCTGGGAACCCGGAAAAGGAGGCAGAGAAATCAGCAGGAAGCACAACCCACAAGTGAGGAACCTGAGCTTCATTTACTCTTTCATGTATTCATTCCCGGCGCAGGGAGTACCTACTGAGCCCGGCACGGGCCAGGCACTGGGAGCACGGTGGAGCATGGAGCGGGTACGACCCAGTCTCCGAAAGGAAAATGACCGCAGACACCTGTGAGGGATGAAGGCAGGACAAAAATCCAAACCTGGGGTGCTACGTCCAAGGCCCTTTTCCCCATGTTTCCATGGTGTCCGGAGGGCAGAAAGGCGACCAGGGTCAGAATCAAAGCACAAACACTAAGGAGAAATTCAACCACCCCCCCCCCCGCACTTGACTTGCCTGTGACGGCAGGTCTCTCTTGGGAAGAAGGCACTGGGGGACCCTTCAGATCCGGGCTCTGTTTCTGCTCTGCCCCCTCAGAACTTCCATTTCCTCAACTGTCAAAGGCGGGATAATACTAATGCCGACCACGGGGCTGTTCTGAAGAGAACGTGAGATCACTCACGTGGTTTCTGGCACACTCAATACAGTCCTTTCTCTCCCCTCTAAGAGGTCCCCCAAAGCTTCCACCAGTCCTGGTTCCTCTTTTAGGATTCAGGGTCAAGCTCACTAACATAAAAGGGACGTCAAGCCAGGCCTGTGCATTAAGTTAGTGTAGATGAGCCTTGGGTAATGCCTTCATAGGCATCTAAGGAGAAGTTTGCAAGTTGAGAATTGAAATGCCCTTGGAGTCCGAGGCTGGGCACGGCGGCCCCGCCCCCAGGCTGAAGGCCTCTGAGGTCGCATGTCTGCAGCCAGGCCACCGCCGTTTGCCTGTAGTCCTCTTTCACTGGCCTGAGCTCTCGAGGACAAGGACTGTGCTTTCCTCTGTGTCCCCAGCGCCTAGCACAGCACCTGATGCATGGCTTGATGACCGCTGAATGAATGCTGACTGTGGCGGAGGGAGGAGGAGGGATCTTCCAACCTGCAAAGGCAGCTGAGTCTCGTGGGTACCCAGAGGAAGCTGACTCAGCGCCTTGCACGCCAGCGTAGCTACCCTGAGGGACGTGTGCCTGACTGCGGCCTCGCTGGTAGGGTTGCCACAAAGACACCCAACAGGCTTGACTACATTTGAATTTAAGATGAATGTGTCTTATCATTTCTTAGCCACGTGTGCAATATTTGGGACATGCTTATACTAAAAGATCATTCTTCATTTTAAGTTCAAATTTAACGGGGCATCCTTTTTTTTTTTTTTAATCTGGTTGCCCTTATCTCCAGCGTTAGCCAGTCCTCTCAAAACCATGCACTGCAGATTAGCAGCAGCACCAGGAATGAGGTGTGGGTGGGTCGGTGCCACCGGATTACTAACTCCGCAACACCTAATTTGACAGAGCGGAGGGTGGACGTTAGAGGAGAGGGACAGAATTAGAATAAATCCTTCTAATCATTCATGACGCGTGCTAAGCAAAATCAGGCCTCCGGCAGCCGTCCACATTCTAGTCCCCGGAACCTGTGAATCCGTGAGCTTACTCGGCAAAAAGGACTTCACAAATTTGATTAAATCAAGGATCTTGACATAGATTATCCTGGGATTTGGGGGTGGGCCCAGTGTCAGCTCACTGGTCCTTATGACTGAGAGAGGGAGGAGGACAGAGAGGGAGGGGCAGAGAGAGAGAGAGGTGCAGCCGTGGAAACAGAGGTGTGTGACACTGCAGGAGACAGACTCAACCGGCCAGCCCTGGCTTGAAGACGGAGGGGCACCCAAGCCAAGAAATGCGGATGCCTCCTCTAGATGCAGGAAGAGGCAAGGAAATCTGACCTCCAGAACTGGAAGACGAGAAAGTTGTGTTGTTCTAAGCCTCCACGATGGTGGTAACTTGTTACAGCAGCAACAAGAAACTGATACAGGGTGACCGCAAGAAAAAATTGTCACTTCCTTTTTGCCAAAGGTAACAATAACCACCTCAAAGTCTCCTTCTTTAGCAAAGACAGTTCCTGGGACTAACCATTAGACAATGTGCATTTGCCTACATGGTTTCCTTTTCTCCCAACAGCTCTACAATAGCCTTGTATGTCATTTCTAGAAGCGGACGATTTGGGGTTCAGAGACTTCGGGTCACTTGCTTCAGGCCACCCAGCAAGCGTCGCTGCTGCTAGGTCACTAGGCCCCTGCTGCTAGGCTGGGGCGGGGGGTGGGGCGGGTCGCACAGACTAACTTTCCGGGCATCTCAACCACAAGCAGACCTGTTGCAGCCTGGCTTCTTTGCTTGGGAAGGAAGGGACCACATTTTCTCCTCCAGTTATCCACAGCCTTATGATTCTTGTTCCGTTTCTGCTTGGGTTTCGCTCTCCCAGATGCCTCGAGACGAAAGAAGATGCCCCACACATCTGTGGGGCCCTTTTCAGCTTGGAAAATGTCCCCGCAGCCATCACTTTGGGGGGCTTCACAATGGGTTAGGTAAAATGGGCAGATTGCTTCCCCTTGTTTCACAGAGAGCAAACCTGGAGCTTCAGTAAGGACCAAGAGCTGCTCAGGCCCACACGACTCCAGATGGGTTCCTCTGACACCCATGCACTTACGTAGAACCTGGGATAAAGGGCTAAAGAGGGGGCAGATGCGGAGAGTGGGAGTAAGAGAGGGACCAGGATTTCTGGACTGGCACAGCCAAGAGTTCCTGGAGAGGAGGGAAGGAGGGGAAAGCGGCTTCTTCCCAGAGGTGAGTGGTGCTACTGAGCCACAGAGCTCAGAGGTGGCTTAGATAACACTATTCAGTGGCTGCTAGTGTGCCACCAGGCACCCGATCACAGTGTGCTGGGGAATACCTGGGCCCCCCTTTTACAATGTGGTCTGAGGGGCTTCCAGGGCCCAGAGAGCCGGGAAGGAAGACCTGTCCCCAACAGAGGAGTCCCGAGAAGCCCCTTCTGCAGGGACCAGGCACGCTGTGCTTCCCATGCCATTCTGGGTCACTTTCATCAAGACTCTGCAACACAGCAGGTCCCCAAGACCACATGGAAATTTGCTCCCTGAACCCCTCACTCTCCTCCCCACTCAAGGGGAGGTTTGTACACCGGGGCCTGCTACATCAGCAGCTGAGGAGGGAGGCTGCCTCTCGGGCCTACATCAGGGACTGCAAGGCAACACTGCCGAAGGGGTTTGGGCTCAGGAATCAGACTGCACTGGGCTTCTTGACCTGCCACTTAATGATGTGAGTGACCCCCAAGCAACCCTTCTCAATCCTAATCAAACGTGATCCAAACCCAACTCAAAGGGTTATTTTGGGAATTAAGTGACATCATGTCCACCAAGCACCTTGCAGTTTCTGACACACAGTAGGTGCTCAATTAACAAGAGTGACTATATGAATATTTATTATCAACACTCAGTTTCCCTGAGGTTTACTAGGGGTAAACTTATTAAATCTAGTTTCCAGCCACAGTGGCAGAACTTTCTGCCCTGTAGCCACCCAGGCCATGCCTGCTCATGAATCAGTGGTGAACTCGGTAAGAGGCAGCTTGAAAATGGGTCACTGCCTTCTCCCTGCAGGGAGCCTTGTTTGTGCTAAGGTTCCATATGGGTTTTGTGATTCTTAAGCCAGGGGGGCAATACCTCTTCCTGTGACTAAAAACGGAAACAAGCTGCTAATTCATACCCTTGAAAAAATTGGCTGCAAAGCCCGCTTTATTGATAGAGCCGTCGGACACAAACTTCATCCACATTCTGTGGGAGCTCGATCTCACATCTTCCGGCTTCTCATAGCCACAAAAATGGCCAATCAGAGCGCTCTCCTCCGTGGGGCCGTCGCGGATCTCCAGGTAGTCGTAGGCGCAGCTGTCATGCCTTTCGATCTAAACAGAGAAACAGAGGCAACGTGGAAGGTGACGGATGGTCTGGCTTTAAGGCTTTTTTATGTGAGAAGGGAACCTAAGCAACACTCTCAAAGATCTAATCAGGAGGCAGAGGGACCCAAGTGTGTCCTGGGCTCTCCAAGCTGTCTCTTACTTGTGGAAGCCCAGGGAGAACCAAACTGTGCGGACTAAGAGACGATACACACGGAGGACCGGTTCTATTCAACTTCCTGAGATCTGCTCCTAGACCTTCATAACCGCCCCCCCACCCCTGGATGGCTGTTGGAAAGGAGGCGGATGCAATTTCGAAGTTTGCAAAGATGTTGAAGCCAAATGTCCATGAGCTTGAAATGGTCTCTCAGGTTCTTGTTTGCAACCCACTCAATGGAAACCCATTTTTTTTTAAAGATTTTATTTATTTATTTATTTGACAGAGAGAGATCACAAGCAGGCAGAGAGGCAGGCAGAGAGAGAGAGAGAGAGAGAGAGGGAAGCAGGCTCCCTGCTGAGCAGAGAGCCCGATGCGGGACTCGATCCCAGGACCCTGAGATCATGACCTGAGCCGAAGGCAGCGGCTTAACCCACTGAGCCACCCAGGCTCCCTGGAAACCCATCTTTATGGAGCAGAGAGCGTCTAGAAGAAGTTGACAGTTACTTCATCCTTGGGAAAATCCGAGCGGTACTCACCTCAAAAGCTTGGAAGGTAAGTCCCACGTGAAACCCTTCTGAAACCGTAATCCTCCAAACACATTCCTTGGAAGGTCTGTAGTCATCGGGGTAGTTGGGAGATTGAATCTGACCAGCGTCTTTGTTAATGTCTCCCCCACACGTAGCTTTAGGAAGAGAGCCAGGAGAGGATGAATGGGGTCCCTGGTCAGACCTTGGGAAGGAAATGAGTGACCACACGGATCACCACTAGGTGGCTCCACGTGGCAACATTTTCATCTCCACCTAACGGGCACTGTGCCTCCGGAAAGGCACAATTTGATCTGTTGGCAACTCGGGACTTTTTTCCATATAGAGAAAATAACCATGTAAGGCAGTGGTTCCCCATCTTTGCTGTGCATCACGATCACCTGGGAAATGGTCTGAGCTGTGGAAGCAGGGGCTGCATCCCTAGAAGTTCTGACGCAAGGAGGTCTGGGGGAGCTCCAAGTAACAATGATGTCTGAGTTCCCCGAGGGATTCTAATGTAGAGGCTAGGGGACCACTGACACAGAGGGACACACACACACACACACACACACACACACACACACACACACATGTTATTTCATTTATAGAAACAAAACCTTGGCCTCTCCATAATTACAATTTACCCAATATGTGGAATGAACTTTAGCAGAAATGCCCTGGTGGCAGCTGCCTAGAGCCCAGACCTATTTGTTTCCTCAACTCAACCCCATGGTGGCCTCGGAGGCCCTTTCAAGAAATGCGGTTGTAAATATCCTGATCTTTTCTGAACAGAGGCCCAGAGTGGTTGGGTCCTTTGCTTGGGCTCGCACAGATTCAGAGGTTGCTTTCATGTCCTTGGGTTCGCTACCCCGGATGGGCCCCCCAGCTGCACTGAAATGGGGTTCAGCGGGGTGGTGACAGGTAGATGATGACACCTGTTCTGAAGGAGGCACAGCTGCCCTCTCTGCTTCCAGCGTGTGGAGGAAGGGGCCCCGGGGGGACACCTCGGCCCAGACCCTGTGGTGGGTGCCCCGACCCCCGGGGCTCTAGCAGCTGCCATGCAGGCCTGGGTGCAAGAGGGATGGGGGCTGCAGGGGAAGGTCAGAGCACAGCCAAAGCTCCCCTGTGGGTTTCTCTCGTCATGAACCAACCTTCGTACACCGCGAAGAAACCCTTGCCCAAGATGCTGCTGCTGCTCCGGAACTCCACCCAGAGCCGGCTGTCTGTGGAGGTGAGGGGCTCCGGGACTTTATTGCCACAAAACCTACCTGGGAACGGAAAAGACAGGTCAGGCTGCCGGCAGACAGCGAGAAACTCATTACAGAGAGAGGGAGCGGCGTTTCTTCAATGTGGCACCCTGTGAGCAGGAGCCTTGGCTGTGGCAATTCACCCTGTCACGCAAAGAGGAATAAAGGACCGACTTCTAGAGGATTCCAGACACCAGTCAATCGAAAAACTCAGAGTGTAGCCCAGACACCCCCTCCTCTGCCATATGGGTCTGGTACAGGTGTGGTGGGTAATGGTCTGAGACAGCGATGGACGTTCACCCCCTCGGTATTTCTTACTACATACATGCCCTTCTTCTGCGGGCGGCATGCCTTTGGGAAGACATTCTGCTTCTCTTGCCTCAGAAAAGGGATGCCAGAGAACATATGATTTAAAAAATCAAATCTTGTAGGCTCTTGAATTTCATAAGCCTAGTTACAATCACAAAGTTTTGGAAGAACACTCAGTGAGGAAGAGCACATTTTCCATTTTCACCCTTGTAGTCTTAGAAAGATTGCTAGGACGAATGAGTGCAGGAACCAGAAAGAGAGGATTAGAGAAGGGATGATGGACCTTCTAGAAGGACCCCATACACCGTCCCACCCTGAGCTAAGACCCTTGATGGAAAAGGATGATAGAGACCCCAAGTGGGTTTAAAGATCTGTGAGAAGGACACAAAAGCAAAAATGAACTACTGGGACTTCATCAAGATAAAAAACTTCTGCACAGCAAAGGAAAAAAATCAATAAAACTAAAAGGCAACATACAGAATGGAAGAAGATATCTGCAAATGGCACATCAGATAAAGGGCTAGTATCCAAAAATCTATAAAGAACTTATCAAACTCGACACCCCCCCCAAAAAAACCAAACAATCCAGTCAAGAAATGGGCAGAAGACATGAACAGACATTTCTCCAAAGAAGACATACAAATGACCAACAGACACGTGAAAAAATGCTCAACATCACAAAGCATCAGGGAAATACAAATCAAAACCACAGTGAGACACCACCTCACAGCAGTCAGAATGGCTAAAATTAACCACTCAGGAAATAACAGATGTTAGCAGTGATGTGGAGAATGGGGAACCCTCTTACGCCATTGGTGGGAATGCTAACTGGTGCAGCCACTCTGGAAAACAGTACGGAGATTCCTCAAAAAGTTGAAAATAGAGCTACCCTATGACCCAGCAATCACAGTACTGGATATTTATACAAAGGATACAAAAATAATGATTTGAAGGGGCACCTGCACCCCAATGTTTATAACATCAATGTCTACAATAGCCAAACTATGGAAAGAGCCCAGATGTCCACTGACAGATCAATGAATAAAGAAGCTGTATAAATATAAATATATATATATATATATTTATATATAATATATAATAATATAATATATAATAATATAATAATATATAATATACATGTATAAATATATATATAAAGAAGATACACACACACACATATATATATCGCACAGCCATCAAAAAGAAAGAAATCTGGGGCACCTGGGTGGCTCAGTGGGTTAGGGCCTCTGCCTTCGGCTCAGGTCATGGTCCCAGGGTCCTGGGATCAAGCCCCGCATTGGGCTCTCTGCTCAGCAGGGAGCCTGCTTCCCTCTCTCTCTCTGCCTGCCTAGAGAGGCCTACTTGTGATCTCTGTCTGTCAAATAAATAAAAATAAAAAATCTTAAAAAAAAAAAGAAATCTTTCCATTTGCAATAATGTGGATGGAACTGAAGGGTATTATGCTGAGCAAAATAAATCAGAGAAAGACAAATACCATATGATTTCACTCACATGTGGAACTTAAGAAACAAAACAGATGAATATTGGGGAAGGGAAGATAAAAACAGAGAGGGAGGGAAACACTAAGAGACTCTTAACCGTAGGGAATAACCTGAGGGTTGCTGGAGGGGAGGTGGATAGGGGGATGGGGTAACTGGATGATGGGCCTTAAGGAGGGTAACTGATGGAATGAGCACTGGGTGTTGTATGCCACTGATGAATCACTAAATTCTCCTCCTGAAACTAATAATGTATTATATGTTAACTAACTTGAATTTAAATAAAATCTTTTAAAAATAATAAAAATAAATAAAAATTTAAAAAGGATCTGGGAGAAGGACAGAACTGTGCCCCCACTTCCTGGGCAGAGCCTGGAGGGGCAACAAGACCTTAGATCCCCATGTCCCACCTGGGGTCAGAATAGAAGCATCGACACATTCATCCAGACATTAGGTGGGAGACAGGCATGCAGAGTCCTTCAGGCAGAGGGGTATGGAGGTGACTTTCCCATAGTCCAGAGGGTGTGCGGAGCCACAGGACATCACCCACTGTATGTCTTCTAGGAAGATGTGGACCTGGCACTGATCTAAACTGGCCTAGAGTTGAGATAAGAAGGAGGCTCAGCAGCCACTTATGATTCTTTGCTCAGACAGAGGGCTGGAGACCAGGCAGGAGGACACACCATAAAGCCAGCTGGGATGGCAAAATGGACGCCTCCCCTGCCACCATGCCTTGGGACAAAGTAAATCCCTTATCGGACCCCCACGTGGAAGGAAGAAAACACAATCTAATTGAAGTTAACTTCCCACTACTTGACAGAAAGGTATATAATTGCTGTTTTATTAACAGCATAATTGCTGTTGAAATTCTGTTATTGAAAAAAAAAACAGAAATAAACATATATTCCTTAGACACTTGGGTCTAAGTCTGAAATTTGGATCTTCTACAGAGGACGAGGCCAAAGGTCATGCCTTTCCTGGTGTATAGAAATCCTTGACCCTATAATTCCTAATGCCATCTAAAGATGGCAGCCATGCAGCAACCTCTTCGACCTCAACCACAGCAACTTCTCCCTAAAAACCTTGCCAAAGGCAAGGGAAGCAAGGGCAAAAATGAACTATTGGGACTTCATCAAGACCAAAAGCTTTTGCACAGCAAAGGAAACAGTCAACAAAACAAAGAGGCAACTGACAGAATGGGAGAAGATATTTGCAAATGATATATCAGATAAAGGCTAGTATCCAAAATCTATAAAGAACTTACCAAACTCAACACCCAAAGAACAAATAATCCAATCAAGAAATGGGCAGAGGACATGAACAGACATTTCTGCGAAGAAGACATCCAGATGGCCAACAGACACATGAAAAAGTGCTCCACATCACTCGGCATCAGGGAAATACAAATCAAAACCACAATGAGGGGCGCCTGGGTGGCTCAGTGGGTTAAGCCTCTGCCTTCGGCTCGGGTTGTGATCTCGGGGTCCTGGGATCGAGCCCCGCATTGGGCTCTCTGCTCAGCAGGGACCCTGCTTCCCCCCTTCTCTCTGCCTGCCTCTCTGCCTACTTGTGATCTCTGTCTGTCAAGTAAATAAATAAAATCTTAAAACAAAACAAAACAAAAACACAATGAGATACCACCTCACACCAGTCAGAATGGTTAAAATTAACAAGTCAGGAAACAACAAGTGTTGGTGAGAATGTGGAGAAAGGGGAACCCTCCTATACTGTTGGTGGGAATGCAAGCTGATGCAGCCACTCTGGAAAACAGCATGGAGGTTCCTCAAAAAGTTGAAAATAGAGCTACCCTATGACCCTGCAATCACGCTACTGGGTATTTACCCTAAAGATACAAATGTAGTGATCCAAAGGGGCACATGCACCCGAATGTTTACAGCAGCAATGTCCACAATAGCCAAACTATAGAAAGAACCTAGATGTCCATCAACAGATGAATGGATAAAGAAGATGTGGTATACATATACAATGGAAAACTATACAGCCATAAAAAGAAATGAAATCTTGCCATTTGCAACGACCTGGATGGAACTAGAGGGTATTATGCTAAGCAAAATAAGTCAATCAGAGAAGGACAATTATCATATGATCTCCCTGACATGAAGAATTTGAGAGGCAACGTGGGGGGTTTGGTGGGTAGGGAAGGAAAAAATGAAACAAAATGGGATCGGGAAGGAGACAAACCATAAGGGACTCTTAATCTCACAAAACAAACTGAGGGTTGCTGGGGGGAGGTAGGTAGGGAGAACGTGGTTGGGTTATGGACACTGGGGAGGTTATGTGATATGGTGAGTGCTGTGAAGTGTGTAAACCTGGCAATTCACAGACCTGTACTGCTGGGGCAAATAATACATTATATGTTAATAAAAAATAAAAAATTAATTAAAAAAAAGATGGCAGCCATGGCAGGATAGGAATGGGGGTGGGGTGGACATGAGCTGAGCTGTACTGATCAGTTCACAACACAGACCAGTCAAGGTCTACTTGGACTGGTGGTCATGGTTCTCTCAAGCACTGACTATGAAGTCACTCAAAAATCCATTTAATGTTGGGGAAATCGGGAGGGACTCTTGATGAGTAGGGATGTGTTTTCTTTTGGGGTGATGAAGATGTTCTGAAACTGACTATGATGATGGCTGGTTGCACAACCCTGAACATACGAAAAACCATTGACCTGAATACTTTAGACAGTGAGTTGTATTATATGTGACTCATATCTCAATGTTTCTTATGTCTATTCAACCGTTATTTGGTGGGCACTCCTTTATCGCCAACACCACTTGAAGTTATAATTCTCCTTTCCCGTCTAAGAAATAGGAGGAGTGAGGTTCAGGGAGGAATAAAGGCCACTGTGGCCATTTCCTGATGGCCAACTGTGGATACTTTCTTTGCGGAGATGTGAGGTAGAAGCTGCTAATCTCCTTCTGCTTCCTTCCGATTCTGGCCACCTGCAGCTCTCTGGCTCTGGTGAGCTTAACATTAAGTGAGATGAGCTGAAACTTCTGCCAAGATTTTGGCAAGGAACAATCCATCAGAAGCCCATACATTTTCCATAATGGTTACTCCGGCATGGCCAATTAGTGTCAATTAATTCTTGGAAAACACCACAGAAACATGGGGAAGTACTGCTTACCAGTGAGGAGAGAGGCTTGCTGAACAGCCGTTCAACAACGTGGGATCACCAAAGGAATTCCTTCTTAGCCAAACTGAGTTTCAAGTCCAAATTTCTCCTTTTAAAACCCCAGCTGTCACGGCCACTGGAGACTGTTTGCAAAAAACAGAGGGACTTCCCATGCCTGCCTTGCTGCCTAAGAACCCAACCAGATGAGACGAACCACCCACCACCGCCAGGCCACAGGACAACCCTGGTCCGCTCACTGCTCTGGAGGAGGGAGGAGTTACTGCCTTGGCAAACCCAGACTGGCTGGGATAAATTACAGATTATTTCTAAGTAACTTCTCTCCCCCAATCGCTGTGTAATTCTTAACTAAAACCTTCTATTTTGTCCCCTATTTTCTCAACACTCCCATCTCCACCATAATAGTTCTAAGGAAAGCCTTTTGCTTTTGAGCTTGACATTGTCCTAGGTACCCTACATAGATTATGTAACTGCATTCTGCTACCCCCAAATTAGGTACTATCCATAATCTAGGTTATGAGAAAACCAAGGATTGTAGAATTTGAGTTGAGCTGCATTCACTTTGAGTTACAGTCTAAGTTGTAAGTGAAGCAGGATTTGAACCTCAGCAGTCTGGGATCTTGACCTTCACCATCAATTTCACCCCCTAATTTATCACCACTCCCACCATCATCAAAAGGAAACTTCAGTATTCGAGGTGCAATTCTGGACACAGTCTGCTTTTGGATGAATAGACAGGAAATCTGGTCTCTGGGAATGTACACATCATTCCCCGTTTGGACACAGACAGGAATGAAGGTCAAAGCCTCCACCCATACAGCAAGCTTGTGGCGATGCCAGCCTTGGCTGTTTGACTCCCACCAACGTTCCTGCTCACTTGGGAGACGGCCCCCGGCCCAGGGAGCCCCAGTAGTGAGGCCACACGACACTGATCGGCCAGCCTGGCCTTTCTGAACTTCCCTCCCCACTTCAGGGGAAAGTGGGGAGAGGGGCTTTGTGTGTACTGTGGTGGTACAGAGTGCTCAAAGACAGTTCTGTATACAAGAGTGCATTGTTTGAGTAATTCCTCCACCAGAAATAAGGGAGGGGAATCCAATTAACATGACAGTATTTAAGATTACTGGTAAATTCTCTCTGTAGGCCACCCTTATTCCTCCCCACTTCAGGTGCAATCTCATGAGCGACCCCTGAATCTGAAAAACCAATGTGATACCTTTAACCAACGGTGAACTATTCTCATTCTACTTACACTTCTCTTTAATCACTTTGTGAAAAAGTGGGTCCCAAACAGCCCCCTTCCAAGAGAACGAACAGGCTGGGCAGAAGCTGGACTAGAGAAAAGGTGGCAAATCCCCGAACTGATTCTGGTTCCTGGCTTTGGAGGAGGAGTTTAATAAGGATATCAAGAAGAGGAAATGCAGATGAGGACACTACAAGTGGACTCCGCGGGGAGTCATAAAGGGTTCATTCATAAAAAGTTATGCGTCCATTATGCCTGCATTTTCACACACTACCCTGGGAAAATATGCAATGCACAGTTTTTCAGAGCAAGATGCATACTTTCACAATCCGCCCTAATCCGCTCTCCCTCCTGCCAAAGGGGCATTGACCTGCCTCCTCCCAGCAGATTTCATGGCACTGACCCCTCCCAGGGACCAGCTCGGCCCACACAATGCACTTGTTCCAAACACAAAAGTGCACTAACAACTGCATTTGGAAACATCAGAGCAGGGCCAAGTCGTTGGCAAAGGAGAATTCCCGCAAACGAAGAATGACGGTTACAGGCGCTGGGCCATGCCTTGGCTGCGGCACGCGGACACACACACACACACACACACACACACACACTGCAAAAGTGTGTAAAATATGAGCCCCCCAAAACCCCCACACAAAACCCAAACAAAGCAAACCATCACCAACAACAACGAATGGCAAAAGCCCCATCTCATCAATGGAAGTGTAGTCAGAAATGCCAGGATCTGCAGTGAGAAAGTTCTTGTTTCAGGTTCAAGAAAAGGGAATCCCTGGAAATGCCTCTGGCTGTGCCCATTCTCAGGAGCGTGTCTTGGCCCTCTCTGGGGAACCTCAGAAACAGAGAGCTTCCTTCCCTGAGCCCTTTGAGTCTACCACATTCCTCTGGGGGGCGTTAGGGTTGCCAGATTTTGCAAACAAAATATGGGAAGGCCAGTCGCATTGGAATTTCAGATAAACAGTGAATCATGCATTTTATCTGACCATCCTACTACTGGGATACCCTTCTCAGAGGCAGCAGTCCCCACTCCTCATGACGAGGCCATCGCAGTTCTGGTCTGATCTCAGCCCCTAACTGGCTGTGCAGACTTAGCGAGTTGGTCCAAGTTCGAAGAGTGTGGACTCTTCACTTTCCTGGTGAAGGTGTGGGCTTAGGGACTCTGTGATCCCTGCCTTGTCGAGGGGTTCATGATTCCGTGCTGTCATGGAAACTCCCCCACCCCATACAACCCCTTGTATTAGTTTAATTAGAAAATACTACCTGCATTCTTGTAAAAAATGTAGAATGATCCAAAAGTATACGAACCAAACCACCAAGCTGCCGACTACCTGTGCCTCCTCTCCTTTCTCAAAGGTAACCACCTGCGGTTGTTTGATGAGCACCCCTGCGGTCCCCTTTCTATGTGGTGCTAAACAGGTCCCCATGCACCTACATTTACGGGGAAGCAGGATCACTCCCTGACCCAGCTCATGGGGATTCTGGTGCGGTGGTCTCCCAGGGATCTGTATTCACAGAAATACTCCCAGCTGACTCAGGTTCAGGAACCAGGTTCAGGAACCTCTGCTAACCTAGAACACAGCCCTCAGTCTTTTTGCCACACCCAGTCAGGACTACCTCGGAGGCCGCGCCTCCTCCTGGCTGCGAGCATGCACTGTGTCCGCTTGCCTGAGACAGGAAGCGGAAATCCAGGGCAGGCAGCCGCCGCCCTGCCGTCGGGTAACCAATCCCCTTTGTCCTATAGCGTGCACGCTCCTGTCTGTGCTTGGCTTGCCTACCTAGATGGCAAACTAGCCCACCGATGCCACCGATGGTGGTGGTAACCTGGTACCCCCTCTCAGAGCCTGCCATGGCGGCTTTCTTGAGCACCAGTGCACACAGATTCCTTTCTGTTTGGACTTCTAGCAATTGAGACTCATGGTCTTCTGGACAGAAGGGGCTTATGTGATATTCCCAATGAAAGCTGACCTGGCTGACACCCTGTGGCCAGACAGAGCTTAGTATTTGCTGGCCCCCTCGGGGCCACCCAGACCCTCTGTCCCAATCTCTTCTGACCTACCCATAATCTGACTCGAAGGCACGGGTGGTCTGCCTATGGAACTCCCGCAGTTACCTCTCCCCCTCTCCTCCTGTTTCCATCTTTCATCTGCTGTCCCAACAGCAGCTCACTCCCAGGCCAGACAGTCAAAGAATAACCAGAGCAGCTTTTCTGCCCATGTGAGGATATGCCAGGGACAAAGACCTCAGTGAAGGCTCAGATTTATCAACCTGGAAGCCCACCCTGCTATTGCTCTAAAAATGAGAACAATCCACTAACAGCCAAAACCCTTCCATCTGGCTCCTTATAAATCTACATCCCTCTCTGGCTCCCCCATTGCTATTCTTTAGCCAAATGAGTCCCTATGTCCATTTCCAGGATACTGTGCCATTAATTCTCTATACTTTCATCTTTTCAGGTCACCCATGGGAGATTGCAAATTGGTGACCAATCCTGAATGAACGGACTTTTCTCCTTGTGCCACCTGCCCACTGCCTCTTGCGGAAAGGTCCAAGCTCCCTTGTCACATATGAGTTCATGCACTGTGCATCTACCAGAAAGGGTACATGCTTATTGTAGAAAAATTAAAAAATATAGCTAAACCAGGAAAAAAAATTAAAAAATTCTTAAGAGAGAGAGAGAAAGTATGCGGGGTACAGGAGAAAGGTGCAGAGGGAGAGGGAGAATCCTTGAGCAGACTCCACACTGAGGGCAGAGCCTGATGTAGGGCTTGATCTCATGACCCCGAGATCATGACATGAACCAAAGTCAAGAATCAGACGCCTAACCGACTTAGCCACCCAGGCGCCCCCAGAATAAACTAAAAAAAAAAAAAAAAAATACTCCATCATTCTGAAATAACCACTATATGTTATTTATTTATATTCATGATTCTACTTGATATTTGTACTGTAGATCACAGAATGCTTTCTTCCAGTGGAATCCAACCTGTACATGTTTTAAGTAGTGTTGTTTTGAGTAATTCTGGTCAGGATATTTGCTTGGCCACACTCCCCACCACTCCTTCGTTTATTATCCAACCCCCTGGTCCTCACATACGCCTTATTTCTGAGGGCACCTGAGTTTGCAAAGCCTCAAAATATACATATAATAGTATTTTTATTAAAATGGAAGTCAACCTCATGTTGTCTTTCATAACACCTTTTTGTGTAATGACATACAGGAACCCCTTTCTGTATCAATAAGTAGGTACCTCCAACTTTATTTTTAGTGGCTGGATAGTTTTCCCCTGGAAAGTTGTATCCCAGTTTTTTCAGCGAACCCCTACTGTTGAACATGTAAACTGTTTTCCACTTTTCCTGCTCCAGTGAATATCTCCAAAGCTAGAACTTTGCACACTTCCTTAATTGGTTCCTTAGGATACATTCCAAGAAGTGGAATTGCCGGGTTGAAGGGCAGTCTCGGTCTTAAAAGCTTTTAACACGTGCTGACAAATGGAGTGCTCGGAGTTTTACAACGACACCGACCCTTGTGAGCTCCCTGTGTCCGCTGGCGGGATGGGCCCTTCCACATGTTAATGGCATCCCATGGAACAGCCCATCACCCCTTTCCCAAGGCTTTCTAAAGTCAACTTACCCAACAGGGGGGCTTTTCTCCAGTAACCATCCCGGACCTCCACATAGTCATACCAGCACAGGCGGCTTTTAAACAAATCCATGGATGTGAAGTTCAGGACAATCTGTAAAGAGTGACCGTAAAGTGAGTTTTGGCAGCAGAGCCCAAGGACTCTTGAAGACCCATCTCGCATGCCCGTGTTCTCACATTACCTCTTAGCATACAGAACTCTCAGACCACAGTGGGAGCGTCCTCGCAAAGACACACTCACAGGAAACCTCGTGACATGAAATAATAAACCTTGAGCAGGATGGGGAGTAAACAGAGGAGATGAGTCCCCTGGTTCTGTCCTGGAGCTTTTGAAGTCACTCGGTGGTTTATAGGAAACAGAATGCATTAAAACGATGGGCTGGGGCGCACCGAGACCGGGGATTTAGAAGGAGGTAGGGGTCAGTGAAGTTCAGAGATACAGAAAGATCTTATAACATCATCCATCATTCCAAAGGGCCTGGGGTTAGACTGGGTGCATCTGAGCAACCACCGTGATCACTGTTCCCTCGGCCATGACCTCACTCTTCTGAGATGGGGTGTAGCTGATAGCTCTCCTAGAGTTAGTCTGTTTGTTCGTTCATTCATGCATTCGTTCATTCATTCGTTCATCACACCATTGTTAGCTGACCACCTACTGTGTGCCCATCTGTGTTGGTCAACTGACATCGATCAGCAAGAGAGGGTTCTTGCTTTTAGGGAGTTCAGAGAACACAGAGGGTTCAGGCCAGTTAGACAGAACACTCTGGAATAAATGTAGAAAAGAGAGGGACGCACAGGAAGGGAATCCTGCAGCACCAGGGAGGGAGAACTAGAGGCTGCCCGGGATACATCTCAGAAGAGGTGGCATTTAACCTAAGGGGAATAGGGGTCCAGTGGGCAGAGACACAGGGCAAAAGCGCATTTTGGTGAGAGGGACTGACATGAGCTCAGGCAAGGAGAGTGTAGGTCATGCTGGGTGGTTCTGGAATGGGGAGTGAAGGCTGGGGAGCTTGGGGTTCAGATGGACTAAAAAGGAAGGTTTCAGTTCCTCTGGACATGCTGAGCCCATTCCGTGGATGTCTTTGTCCACAAAGAGTGGAGGCAGGTGGGTGGCCCTGTGGACTTGGCACACAAGTACTCTTCCCATAAACCTGCTACTCTTCCAGCTTGGGGCATCCCTGGCAGATGGTCCAAAGCAGAGTTCGGGCATCCCTCCTTCCTCCCCCCATCCAGCCCCGCCATGTAGGGTACCCATGCCATGTCTGCCATGTTCGGCCTGTCTCTGCTCCATCATTTCTCTGCTCTCTTCACTCATCAGGGGCCCCATAAAGGCAGCCCTGCCCCCACTACTGTAGCCAGGTCCCTCTGTCTCTAAGCAAAGCCCCAGGCTGGAAGGCTGCAGGTCAAAGTTTCAGGGCCTTTCCAGCCAGACTGAAAGGGCTGTTATTCGTTTGTCCCATTCTCCATGCCTCCCCTGCTTTGAACGCCTCTCTGTGGGCTTCAGCACACCTGTCCTCTCTCCACTGCTCTCTGGCCTCAGCTGGCTCCCGCCCTCCCTGCTCCCCGGTGACTGTGATGGTCCCTTGGTGCCGCAGCATTTCTCTTACAGCTTCCCTGCGCACAGGTGACACCAGTCACTGGGGTGCAGCCCTTTGCTGTCATGTCTGCTTCACCCCTATTGTTTATCCCTGAAGCTGACAGACCTCCTTCCCTTAAGATGTCTGTGTCCCTGCTGCAGGCCAGTCGGGTGTCCCTTCAGCAGCGCTGTCTGCATCGCTCCTGCCACGCCCTGGCCCCTTCTGAGCACTTGGGCTTCTAGATTTATCTTGCTCTGACATCTTATATTCGTCAAACTCCTCCTATGCTCAGAGAACTTCCATGGCTGCCCCTGCCCCCATCTCATAAATTAAACTCTCTGCTTACCTCCCAGAGCCTCCAGCATCCGTCCTACGTGACCTTATTTCCCCGTGTGCCCTGAAGGATCCCGATAATGGAAGCTTCCCCAGGTCTAGCTCCAGCACCCCCTGCCTCCGCCCCGAGTCCCTTTCTGACTGCCCAAATAGACGCGGCCTTTCCTTCCTTGGGACCCCCTCCTCGGCCTCTTACGGTGACTGCAGAGCAGGCGTCTTTAAGAGTCAGGCAGATCTGGATTTCTCAGCTCTACCACTTACTAGCTCTGAGATCCTACTACCACTTACTAGATCAACCACTTACTAGCTCTACCACTTACTAGCTCTACCTCTCACTTGCCCACTTGGGTGAGTGATGTTTAGTTTCCTTATCTGCGAAACAACACGCACACCTCTGGGTTATTGATGGGTGCCCCAAGAAACTGTATATTGAGCGTATCATGCTCTGTCTGACACACGATAGGCACTCGATAAATGCGGTCTTAAAAATCAAGCCACACTGGGGCGCCTGGGTGGCTCAGTGGGTTAAGCCTCTGCCTTCGGCTCAGGTCATGATCTCAGGGTCCTGGGATCGAGCCCCACATCAGGTTCTCTGCTCAGCAGGGAGCCTGCCGCCCCGCCTCTCTCTGCCTGCCTCTCTACTTGTGATCTCTCTCTCCTTATCAAATAAATAAATAAAATCTTAAAAAAAAAATCAAGCCACACTGAGTGCACAGTGAGTGCTCCACAAACCTACACACTAAGCACTTTTCACAAACTGCCTGTCCTAATTAGCGTTGAGCGTGTCCACCCCTTCTTTTGGGCCAATCCCACCTGGTGTTCAGGTCTCAGGACAATTAGTACCTTCTTCCACAAAGCCCTCTGATCATCTATGAAATGAAGAGGGAGAAAATAATAGGCCAGCTCCCCTCCTGTGCTCCTGTGTTGTACAGTGTGTGTGTGTGTGTGTGAGAGAGAGAGAGAGAGAGAGATTCTTTCAAACTAGACCAGTGGTTCTCAACACTGCTACCAACTCAAAAATGTAAAAACTAATACTGGGCCAAGCAAATGCTCCTCCTTCTCAATGAAATCAGATTCCCTAAAGGTAAGGGGGGACCCTACCTAAACTCTAAGTCTCTTGAAGACAGGGATAATAAATTATCTTTCTTTTGTAGCTCCCACAGTGTTCATGTTCAGGCAGAAGAGCTCAGTCATACTGACTAGATAGTTGCAATATAATTCTTTGGCTTTTCAAATTTTCAGAAAGGAAATGTTATTACAACTTCCTTAGTAACACATTCATGATCAAAATGAATGGGATAATCATTCAGGCTGATTATTTTAAATATGTTAGGGAACCATAAAGACCATAGGAGAAGAGGTGACAAGCAAGAGGTGATACTTGAATTGATCGAGTTTGCTAATTACTAGCAGCTCGGGGAAGGCTGGGTGAAGCCAAAATGGAAATCATTGGTACAGGAATCTCAATGATGTATATTCTCCCTGCCCACCCCCCCAGTTAGCAATAATAATTAAGGCTGGAGGGATTTTCTGCATATCCCATAGCCTCTGCTAGGTAGGACAATTCAACAATTTGGGGACTGCTGGATCACTTCCTCTTCCTCCTCCTTCTTCCTGCCTCCCTTTCATTACTGCCTCCAGCAGGCACAGAGACAGCACATGAACCCGAAGGGGACAAGCCTGGAGTCTCTCAGGCTCAGGATGACAACCACAGCGTCATAAATACTTAGAGCCAGAACAAGAGTCGCGCATGGGTGTTGTGTGTGAGCACACGTTACGTGAGCACATGCACGTGAATGCATGTTCAGATGCCTTTCGCCTGACCCTTTTGTGAAATAATACAGGACGATGGGTAAGCATCCAGGCTCTCCCCCGCACTCAGATCCCAACTTCACAACAAACTGAGTAGCCTCAGGCAAGTCCATTTCCTTATCAGAAAAATTAATGTGCTAATAGCACCTATCACATGAAGTTCTGAGGATTGAAAGAAATAAACCGCATAATATGCTGAGAATAGCACCGAGGCCACAGAAAACATTTAAGTGGACATTATTAACAGTTACGAATTAGGACTACTCGAAGGTTGGCTTCAGGCCTCTGGAAATCCTTCACCCCCACAGCACCCCCAGCTGCAGGTTTGTCACTTGGCCTCTCATCCATTCACATGCCCATTCAACAAAGACTTTTTGTGTGACTATGTGCCATGGGCTGTGTTGGGTGCTGGAGACCTCCAGCTGAACAGTCTCTGTCCTCAATGAGGTTAGGGTCTAGAAGGTAGACAACCAGATAAACCAGCAATCATGTTATTGTGAGACAAGCTACGGCAGGTATGACTGTAGGGAGCCTGACCCAAGGGACAGAGAGGGCATCTCAAAGATGGCAGTGTCTAGTCTGTAGAACTCTTGGATTTGAAGGGAGGTGTGAAAACTCACACACACACACACACACACACACACACACACACATTTTAGGAGTGAAGAAGCCGCAGGTTCCAGTTCTATATTTTACTGTGAATTTGGGCAATTTTTAAAGTATCTGAGCCTTAAATTCCTTATCCATATGATGGATGTGAAGAGATGCCTCCTGCAAGAGGACTGAGAACTTACCACCCTTGGACCACGACAAAAGGTGCTGCTGTCCTGGCTCAGCTCTAGAGGGAATCTGGAGGGAATCGCAGAACCTTTGGACCCAAAGGATCGTGCTCACGCAGAGCTTGCATAGCTCCTAGACCTCACTGGGCACCGAGGACCCTGGAGTTCCTGTCCAAATGGTCCTGTGCCTACTTCTAGAGCATGCAGAGATCTCGGCCCTGGAACCCACCCTCCCAAAGGTAGACAGCATATCTAACCAATCTGCTCCTACTGGAGGAATGACTGTTTGCAAGGATGGAGTGCAGAGTGTTTGGGAGAGTGGGCTGGGGTGTCACCATGGGTGCTCCTGAGATAAAATGGGGGTGCTGAGAAGAGAAGGAGGATCCAGCTGTGGGTTGGGGGCCAGCTCTCCCTACATTGCTACCTCCCAGAGCAACACTCTGACATGTCGAGGAATTCTCAATTGGATCCTCACCTTCCAAGGCATTCTGATGGTGTCCTTATTAAGGAGGAAGGCTAGAGTCTACTTTGTTTTCCAAACTGTGAGCGTGATTTATAATTCACATGGACATTTTGCTTCTAGCCTCTATTTGTATGACACCAGTCAGAAGTCCAGAAATAATATTAAGCAAGCTGGTGCACAGTGGTGCTCATAGCATCGCAGCTGTTTTCACTACTGTCAATAATAGTACATCCCCCACACCTCAAAGAAAGCTATGTCACTTCCTGAGGTGGTTTCACACGTACCTTTTCCCCTGGCGTGACCGATATCCTCCAGACGCAGTGGGAGTAAGAAGGGTAGCCATTTGGGAAACCAGGTGCAGAAAAGTTTCCTGTTGTGTCCTGCAGGGTCTCTCCACATGCTGCACAAGTAAAACAACAACTGTGATTCAGGCAGACACGCTCCCTATCCCAGAAGCTCCCTGTGCCAGGCCCCGTCAACACCCCATGACCAGCCAAAGCCCCTGAGATGCCCCTGTGAGAAGCATGTCAGGCAGACTGACGATTTTCTTCTGGCTGATAGAAGTGAAAATAGGGTCTGGGCACCAAAAAGCAATACCTAGGGGTTGCTGAGGTTCCTGAGGCTCTCAGGATTGAGCATGGACTCGAGTGGGGTGTAAGTTTCCCAGCCTTGCTGGGCCTTAGTTTTCTTGTCTGTAAAATGGGCAGGAGCTTCCTGAAGGGTTAATGACATGGATCCACTCAGTGCTTGGCACACAGTGAGCACTCCACACACAGCGGCCGTTATCATTATGACTGACATCTGAGGCAGCAAGCACAGAAAAGTACAAGTAGGTGAAGCAACAAGACAAAGAAAACACTCGGAAACCCATTTCATGAGAAACTCATTGGGTTGAATCTTGCCTCTTCTTTTTCTGCTGCTTATCTCTGAATGAGCTACCAAATGAACAGTCAAGAAAACTCAAAGATGACCAGAGGTATGGGAAGCTATTCTGCCCTTGAATACTGGAGGGTTTCCTGGTCACAAGTCTAGAAACTAGTCTTTACGTATGTGAAAAATATTTCCCACGGGTCACCTCCAGAGTGTGGGAAACAAGCATCCTTACCCATATCTGCCTACATGCAATTCAACCTCCACTGGGCAACAACCCTGCTCTTAGCTACTAATTGAAATTACTGGATGCTGCAGTTTTAAAGCTACAGGAAGGACTAGCTGGAGAGCGGCCCGTCATCAGCCTCAGGAAATCCTGGATGTTGGGGCTTCGATATCATGTTACTGAACAACTGCCAGGCATCACGAGGATTATGCCCAGCAGTCAACACCCCCAAGGGTTCCATGGAAATTATTTTAGAATAATCATCAACATTCTGCAAGAACAGATACATTACTCTATGGCTCCACAGTATTTACCAGCTGCCTCCAATCCTTTGGGGAAGTAAGAGGCATATACATTATAACTAAATAAATACTATGGCATTTCCCAGAAAATGCTATAATGTTTCTCTTTCAGTTCAGCTAGGTTATATGATACGTGGGTCCTGCACTGCAGTCCGAACACGCCCCCACATGACTAATAGCTGGATGGACATGTTTCCTAGAGTTTTGTGATGGACCAAACCCCACAGAGTCCTTTGCATGCTCTGTGATCCCACTTAGGAGGGTGATGTGATAGCCTACATTTTCTAGGATGGCCCCTATTTCAAATTTGCTGTCCCATGATCCAGCTCTGTGTCCGGTCTGGGGTCTGGAAAATGTTACTGGACCTGTGGGTCATGAATTTCCTTCTTCCTCCCCAAACTACTGAATTGTGTTCTCTCCCATCAGTGGTAAACTCGGGCTGCTGTAACAGATGCTTTGCACTGAAGTTCAACAGCTTAAAGGGGTCAAAGTGATCTCACTCCCTGGACAGCAGGTTGGGGAGGTGGGGGGGGTGATGCTGAAGCCAAGGGGATGAAAGGCAAAGAGGGCACTTTCAAGGGGAGGGGCTTGTGGCTGGGCAGGGAAGCAGACTCCTCAGACCCCAGGGTACTGTCCAGGCTCTGATGGCCAATTTCCAGCCAATGACCAGCACTTTGGATGACTAGGGAAGCCCCAAGGCCATAGAAACAACCTCATTTACAGCACTGAGGATCTGGGAGGCTGACTCCCCCCTCCCTAAGAACTCCTTCATTCAAGGTCTTCCTGCAAAACCCTTGGTTTTTATTCCAACAAACCCACATCTCTCACTCCCATGGGAAGGGAGGGGCCTTCAGAGTTATGGGGTACACACTGCACCAGGCCCATGGTCACTGCTGCTATTCCTCTAGGCCTTCTTCCTCTTCGGGCTATCAAGGCTGGGCCAGAGAATTCCAAAGGTTCCCACAGACAAAGCCATGAGCTCCCAGACGTGTCTCTCCTGGCAATCACCTCCCCAATTTGGGCCTCCTATGTGGTCTGAAACCTTCCTGAGAGCAGCATGCCAGAAATTACAGCAGCCTCGTCAGGTCCCCCGAGCTGCTTTCCCAGCAAAGAGGAGAGCTTGCAAAGGGTGGTGAAGTCATGCTCCGAGGGTATCCGCATGGTCCTGGGACTCCCGAGGACTCAATTACCTGGGCATTTGTACAGCTTCCTGGCTTGAGCTATGTCTCCCTGACTGAGCCGCACGCGCTGGCCAATGGTCGGCCTGATGCCATTGTCGTCTCGGCGGGGGAGGATGGTGTCTAAGAAAACTCCTCTGTGGGAAGAAAAGAGAAAGAAAGGAGAAAGACAGGTCAAAGCTGGCTGGCTGGCCGCGCTGGGATGTACAGTCTTTATTTCCCTGCCCACAACTGCCTCGATGTCCCTGGCCCCTGGGCTGCCTCTCCACAGACCCGTATGACTGAAAAGATTTGCTTTACTCATCCTGGCATGTAGGCTTTCTATTGCATGTGCTGCCTACTCACTTCCGATGGGAGAATGATTCTGCCACGTTTGCCGATCTACCCTAGCCCACTGGCCTGGGGGCTGCCTTATGGGTGGGCACTGAGTATTGCCACAAAGCCCCTGATGGGTCCAGGTCCCCAGGCCGCCACATCGTACAACTTCGGGGAGTACCATTCAGAAAGACCTTGGTGTGTGTGGAGCCCCCTGGAGTTGTGCAGTGGGAACCACTGAGCATGGATAAGTCTTGGAGAGGCTCCACAGAGAGCCTGGGAACCAGCACAGTGCGAGGCTCTCAGGGGTTCATAAATTAGTGCTGGTTGACGGGTTTGTGAATCATGGGAATCAGGGCTTGGGGGGCCTTTCTGGCAATGGGGATGATTGCAGAGAGCAAAGGGTAGCTGTGAGGGCCCTGGTCTAAATATTTCCATGTACAGCCTGGCTCTGCCACCTGGGTGAACTCGGACAAGCTCCATCCCCTCCGTGAGCCTCAGTTTACTTCTCTGACAATAAGAGCCTGGCCCAGACAGTCCTGGCAGTCCCTTCCAGTTCTAACATCTTATTCTATTCCCACATGAAGGAAATTGAAATTGACTATAAGAGAGGAGCAGACGGTAGGCTGCTGGGCTGAGCACAGTCTTGGACCTCCATGACATGGGCCTGGTAGACCCCTGCCTGAGCCTCCTTTTCTGCCTCCAGACCCCTGACGCAGGGCCTCTCTGGAAGGGAGGGCCTCCTTCCGAACCAGCTCCTTCACCAGTTACCTGCGTCTTCCCTCCCTTGTTAACCAGGTTTCTGGAAAGAACTATCTCCATTCTGTCTGACTGCCCACCTCCCATTCACTCCTCAATGCAACTGCAACCAGACTGTCCTACAAAGGTCCACAGCCACCAACTGACTGATGACCCCGATGGACACCGGTCACCCCTCACACACCCTCTCCCACAGCACTGACATCAGCTGCTCCTTCCTTCCTCAGACTCTCTTTCCCTGGCTCCCAGGGCACCTATGTCTCTGAGCAGCAAGGGGACATCCATCTACTTCCCGTTTCCCTCTCTGGGCTCTCCCTGGAGGTTCTGCCTTCTTCCTCCTCTCCTGCTCCACTGGCTTCTCAGGGTTTTCCCCTGCCATGGAAAGGTATACAGAAAACTCTCTGATTCTGAGCCCCAGAATCACCTGCTAAGCCCCAGATGCCTGGTTACCCTTCCCAGTGACCACACTATCCTCTGGGTCTGACATCCACACTCAACCCATGAACCCTGTCTCCCGAGACTCAATCCAAAGGCACCATGGCACCTTCCATCATGCCTCGAATCCATGCCCTCCTCCTCATTCCAGACCACTGCCTCAGCTCAGACAGCATCCCCTTCCTGAATTCTTCCCAGCAGCTTCTCAACTGGCCTCCCTCCCGTAGACTCAGCTACATCTTTGGGCCCCTTTAACACGACAATAGGATTGTCCAGAAATCTGAGTGCAGGCTTGTGTCCTCTCTGCTTAGAAGCCTCCACTGATCTCCAGTCACCACCTGGATCCCCAGGCTCTTGGCCCACTGGCCTCTGCCTTCCTCTCCAGCCACTTCTGACCCCTCCACCCCACTTGGTGTCTGAAGCAACACCAAATGCTGCTAGCCCCAAACGTGCCCTTACACATGCTGTCCTCTGTCGAGGCTGCCCACTGCCCATCTTCTTGTCCACCAGCAAACTCCTGTTCATTCGCCAAAACCCCAGCAGATGGCTTTCCCTCTTAAAAGTCTTCTTGAGCCTTTTTTATCCAAACCATCTTGAGTTACTAGTTCCTTTCTCTGGGCTACCTCTGGGCCTTATTTGTCTAGTCTCTTCTTCTCATACTCTATTGTCTTTTTTGAAGGATGATATATATATTTGTCTTCTCTGCTCAATAGTAAGTTCCTCAAGCAGAGACACCAAGACCTTCATCTCTATGTTCTCAGGGACTGGAGCATAACAGGTCAAGAAATGCTTTTTGAATTAAATTATGTAACCAAGGTAAGACAGTGTCTTCAAAAAAATCTTGCAAAGCAATGTACACCCAAAGGAAATGTGAAAATCCACATTACCTATGTATTAGCTGAAATTCTGTACTACCTTGGACTTATTTCTTGCTGGTTACATGTTTGATCATTTTTCTGGTTTTGCATATACTTTTTCTAAGTCAGATTTCAAGCTCACTTTCGTTCCAACAGAAGCAGGCAGGAGCCTGAGTCATCTGCCGGTTTCCTTTGAAGCATCCCTATCTCCAAACTTTAGCCACGCGGTATTTCTCTAATTTCTACTGTCTCATCTCTGGGTCTAGAACCTTCTGGAGAAACTTTAGTGGAATCCTTGGTTTCCCTCACTGACCTTGCCAAGTTGTTTTTTTTTTTTTTAAGATTTTATTTATTTGTTTGACAGAGAGAGATTGCAAGTAGGCGGCGGGGGTGCGGTGGGAAGAGCCCGATGCAGGGCTCGATCCCAGGACCCTGAGATCATGACCTGAGCTGAAAGCAGAGGCTTAATCCACTGAGCCACCCAGGTGCCCCAACTTTGCCAAGTTTTAAACCTCAAGTAATGACTCCCCATAAAATTCTAAATTCGATCACCTACTAAATCTAAAAAGAGGCACTTCTGCCCTAACATAAAATGTGCCCATTTGTAATTATTTTCTTGATTCCCCTGAGGGAAGAAATTTCGCTGCACAAAATGTAAAGCTCACCACAATCTCCAGGAACCCAGGCCAGCCAACCCCGCTAAAGCCCACACACACAGGTGACTCTGCCAGGAACATGATGTGTGGGTGCCATTCTTATTAGGGTTTCCTCCCCACAGGTGAGAAAAAGCCTGCAGAGCTTAAGCATCTCTCCCAGAGTCCAGAGCTAGTAATGGACAGCCAGCCCTGGGACGCAGGCAGGCCTGGAGCCCGTCTCCCGCATCCTCCTCCTTCCAGTCAGTGTTTCCCATGAGGGCGACTTCAGACCCCAAAACAGCAGGAAAAACATCAGCCCACGCTTGGACAGCACTAGGGGGCTGGGGCTCCCTCCCCAACTTTCCCCTGAGCTGCCAGCAAGGCAGTGGGCTCTGGAAGATATTTATCACAAGAGGCGTCCCTTGCATGAACCGCTGCAGTGACATCCCTCTTAGGTAGGACAACTCTTAGCACTGACATTCCGCTAAACTAAGAAAAGGTTTGGCAGATGCTTTAGGGAACAAAGCTGTTGGCTCTGAGCTCTCCAAACAAAGAGGTCCCTGGACCACAGAAGTGCCTCCTCAGCTCCTGGACACCTGCCCAATGAAACCTGCAGAGATACCACTCCCCAGAGCCCGGGTCCGACCACGGGGGAGGAGGGAAGGCCGGCAAGAAACTAGAAACTGGGGGCGCCTGGGTGGCTCAGTGGATTAAAGCCTCTGCCTTCGACTTGGGTCGTGATCCCGGGGTCCTGGGATTCAGCCCCACATCAGGCTCTCTGCTCAGCGGGGAGCCTGCTTCCCCCTGTCTCTCTGCCAGCCTCTCTGCCTACTTGTGATCTCTGTCTGTCAGAAAATAAATAAAAGCTTAAAAAAAAAGAAAAGAAAGAAAGAAAGAAACTAGAAACTGAAGCTGGAAGGAGACAGATCAATCGTAAAGACACACGAAGATGGGTTTTCCTACCAGTAAATGCTTGACAGGCCATTCTCTGCTCTTTAACAAACTCAGACGATGTGCAGGCTGGCTCCAGGGAGTAACAACATGGAATTAGGGAGTTAGGGACTGTGAAATTTGACAAAAAGTGGGCCAGGAAAGACCATCAGTAAGGAGGCCATTGATCCATGTCCCACTGAACAAATGAGTTTCCTGAAAATCCATGTAGAAAACTGGTAGAAAGGACAGTGAAGGTATCCACTTGCCACAAAATAGATTTGCCAAAAATCATTCCAAACTCTGGGGCAGGGGTAAGCATGTAGCTGTGGTAGAATGTTAAAATAATGAATGGCGCCTCCTATTGTCCATATTCTGGGCCTTGCACCTTGCTTGGCCAATGGAATGAGACAGAAGTGATGTCCTGCAGGTTCCAGAGCCTGGGTCTTAAGAGTCCTGCAGCCTCCCAGCTTGTCCTACAGGGACTCTGAGTCCCAATGCAGTGAGGAGTCCAGTCTAGCCTGTCAAGGAAGAGAGGCCCCAGGGAGGAGATCCGAGGGGCCCCCCGCCGGATAGGCAGCACAACAACCACACATGACACCAGCCATCCTGGACTTCCCAGCCCAGTGGCACGGCCACACGACTATTGCCATGGAAATGATCCCAGGCAAAACCAGAGAATGAGCCAAAATGACCCACAATGTCACAAAAATAAGTGGTTGCTGTAAGCCATTGGTTTGAGGGTAGATTATTCCATTGCACTGATGACATCATGGTGGCAGAAGGAGATGGCCACCTCCCTTCAAGGCCTTCAGGGGAGCTGCTGGACTCCTATGTGGCTGCCCATCATGCCCATGGGCTGCTCCCTCGCCCATGTCTCCCTCTGAGGGGTTCTGGGTACGCTTGGTGGGGAGCTATTATTTCAGGGGTTCGGTCCATGGGCTTCCACTGGTCTGTGCCGATAAGCTGCGCCATGCTGACAACAGTGTTAATAAGAGTTATCTCCTTGAGGGGCAAAAGGGATGGCGTTATGAACTACAGATCACAGGGAAAAAACTAAAGATTTTTTTTATTTTCTTAAAAGAAAAACAAGAAAAGGGGATGCCGGGCTGGTTCAGCCGGTGGAGCATGCAACTCTTGATCTCAGGGTTGTGAGTTTGAGCCCCACGCTGGGTGGAGAGATTGCTTAAATAAAACCATGGGGCACCTGGGTGGCTCAGTCAGTTACGTGTCTGACTCCCGATCTCAGCTCAGGTCTTGATCCTGGGGTTGTGAGTTCAAGCCCCATGCTGGGCTCCTTACTGGGCGTGGAGCCTACTTACAAAACCAAACCAAACCAAACCAAAAAGACAAAAAAAAAGAAAAAAAGAAGGAAATAAAGAAATGCTGTTGCCAGAAGACACTAGTGGCATTCTGGCCCTGGCCTCTGGTTTCAGAGCTTCTCCTAGTAAATGGCACACGGTAGGTGCCAAGGAGGCAGTGCAGTTTCTAGAGCCCATTGGAAGTAATTTATCCCCAACCCCCCAGGACAGGAGATGCTATGTAGATTCTCCTTATGACGTGACCACCATGTCTCTGGTATGTGGACAGAAATGCCTGAAGATAATGGAAATTTCTTCCTTTACCTAGTCCCCAGCATTTCGGATCTCCCAGGCTCCTTTGATTGATTCATTGATTTATTCATTTAAGAAATATTTACTGAGGGACGCCTGGGTGGCTCAGGCTCAGTCAGTTAAATGGCTGCCTTCGGCTCAGGACATGATCCCAGCGTCCTGAGATCAAGTCCCACATCCGGCTTCTTGCTCATCAGGGAGCCTGCTTCTCCCTCTGCTGCTGCCTGCCACTCTGCCTGCTTGTGCTCTTTCTCTCTCAAAGAAGTAAGTAAGTAAGTAAATAAATAAATAAATAAATAAATATTTTTTAAAAAGAAATATTTATTGAACGTCTATCCTGTGCTAGGCTCCACATGGTGCTGGGAATTAGAAGAGGATCCCCTCAAAGATCTTAGCCTAGGGAGAGAGAGGGGTTTAGATGAAAGCATAATAATTATTAACAGACTAATGATAAAGCAATATGGAGAGTTAGGACAGCTATGGAGACAAGATCCAAGGTACAACCTGCTCACTTGGGCCAACTTGACAGTGGTTCTCTACAGAATCAACACTTTGTCTCTATTTAGCAGCCTGCAACCCCAGGGCTGATGAGGTGTGACCCCATATTTCCTACACCATTTCCCAAACCGGAGAGTCAGCCCAGCCTCCACACTCAAGCATCCTGCTCTAACCCCTGCAGGGTGGGCTATCATCCTGCCTATCCCCTTGTTTCCTGAGACACCCCCCCGCAGAGGTCCCCAGGGTAGGTCCTTCAAAGTCTCTGCTTCCCAACATGCAAGAGGAAGCCTCGAATGTCCACATGGCAATGAAGGCAACCCCATCTGTCGGTGCCTCACCTGTCTGCACCAGATTCAGAAAGCACAACAGGAAATGTCTGAGCTAGGAGGGGCTCAGAGAACATCTAGTCCCACCCTCTCATGAGGAAACTGAGGCCCAGGGAGGTGGCGATCTGACCCAGTGCAAAGCTATCCCCAATTACTGTCTACATCCCTCAATATCACCGTGTGTGAGAGCACTAGGATTGGAACCCAGTCTTTGATTCTCATTTCAGGGGTCTCTTCATTACATGGTGCCCCCTGTATCCTCTGATAAAGAGCCAGGAGAAGAGTAATGAGAACAGGGTCAGTCAGTCGCATGCCAGGTGTTCAAAGATGCTGACTTGGACACAATTCCACCCACCAGAGCTCCAGAGAGATCCCGCCTGGTTGCATGCAGGGCGGAGATCACAGCTAAATCAGCTGTGTGCTCAGAGGGATGGCACCGAGCTCCCCCTGCAATGGAGAGCTTGGGATGGGGAGTTTGGAGGATCTCTCCCCCAGTCCTGTGACCTCATCAACAGCAGGCTTCCAGTAGCCCTACCCAAGAGTCAACGAGCCCTGGGTGCCCAGTTCCCTGTTCACTCCCAAGAGCGCTGTGTCACCTGAAAGAATGGCTTCCATTGATCTTTATGGACACAGGGACTCGTGAAATGGATTATTTCCGTCTTTGCTATAACTGCTAAGAAGCGCACGGCGAGATTTGCTGCCGATCCCATCAGAGTGTACGTGACTTCATGGCATATATTCCCTATAGCCAGCTGATTCCAAGCTTCAGCGTAGTCTCTACCCTTACTCTCCCCTCCCCCACCCTCAAATTCCCTCATTTATTTGTTTCTTGTCCCATGTATATACTTGGACCCATTTCAAATCTTTTTTTCCCCCCTCCGTGATCAAATAGATAAACAAAAAGCAAACAAGCTCTAGTTTTAAGAGGAAACTGACCAAAAAAAAAAAAAATGCCAAGAGAGAAGATATTTACCCTGTGTCTCCTCTAACTCGAAGGTTTCAGAAAGACCCCCAACACTGGGACTAGAGAGAGAAAACTTCTCTATACAAAACACTCATATGGTCTAGAAGCAAGGGCAATACTGGAAATACTTAACACCCAGTCCAGCACAGCAATAACTCATTAAAGCAGATCCCACCAATGCCAGCCGTAAATCACCGGTCTGGTCATCCTTGGGTAAACGGGCTACCATCGAGCGTGACCAGCAGGCAGGAAACCTGGATCTTTGTTCTCACTCTGACCCCAGCTACCTGTGTGCCCTCGAGCCGGCTGGAGCCTCATTTTCTTCCCCTCAAAAATGAATCCTGGATTTACGACCCTCCCAGCCCTCCTCTGGTCTAGCTTCCAATAAAGCACACCTCTTGGAAAGAAGCGGTAAGCGTCACCAGGCTTACACCAACGACATGCTTTGGAAGACTCCCCCGCCCCCTGGATATTTTACCCAGAGCCCCTAAGTTATTATCCTGGCCAACCTCTCGATAATTTCCCCTTTCCAGTTTGCTGCTTGTGCCATTAGGGCGTGATGAAACGCCAGCTTCGCGACAGGATTCAATCTTATTAGCGGGAACATGATTAGATTGTACTTCATGGCAGCCCGGAGGCCACTGTATTTCAAGGACAGACAGGCCAACTGTGCAAAGAGCATGCAGAGACCCACTCTCCGCACACCTCCAGGCATCCGACCCAAGCCCGCGGCAGGCACAGTAAAACACAGATGAGGCAGAAGCACAGATTCCGACCTTGAGAAGGTGTTCCGGGCGTAGTGCATGATGCTGTCAAAGTCGTAGGTCTCTCCCAGAGAGCTCACTTCCCCAGCTTCCATTTTTAAGAAATTATACTCCTGACCTGTGACACAACACTCTGTTAAGGCCTTTGAAAACAAGGCAGGTCCCTGAAAGGAGGCAGAGGGGGAGGAGGAGGGCCCATAGCCACTTCTGAGAGCTTCGGTTGGCCCAATCAAACAGCAAGGCTGTGGTCGTCCTCCTTGTCTTTAACAGACTGGAAATTTGAAACTTCCAACAGCCCTGTGTTCTCCCAACCCCACTCCCCAACAGCCCCTCCCCAGGTGCCACTGGAAACCCTTACTCTAAGTTTGTAGACAGGTTCATTATTGATCTGATTGCTCAAAAACTTAAAAAACAGATCTCTGATCTTGCTACTGAAAGAAAAGAAGAAAAATCAGAGAGCTAAATTCAATCCCAAAGAATTCACTATTCCGATTCTCGAAAGCATTTTAAGGCAACCAGATTATTCAGTGCTACTTTCAAGTTCATTATAGACTTCTATATAAAATTATTTCAAATGAGAATTTCTGGTTTTTGTTTTCTGGTTTTTTGGTGTTTTGTTTTGTTTAGTTTTTAATCTAGATACCCTATCTGCCTTGGGGCAGGCAAAAATTCTGCAGGCAGAAATACTGCATTTACATGTACTCATGTCCTAATTGTATTTGTTTCAAAAAGATGAGCTGCTGAAGTCAGCAAAAGGGGCTCTTAAAAAAGCAACCAGGAGCACTCCTCTTTTGGCTTCTCGGCTTTGATGCTGCCAACAGTGTTCTGGTCCATTCTGTTCCTGTTAGGAAATGGAGCTGGATTTCATGGTCCTTTACAACGTGAAAAGTCATTTTGTTTTTGCTGTAACCTACAAGCTGGGGCAAGAAGACCTCCCAGGAAGGACCACAGAGGACCCCGGCAATGCTGGTGACAAATGCCTGCACAATAGGGTCGCTGCCTCCTTACAGAACAAATGAGCATTGGTCGGCTCCCCGAAACCCCTCCCCTTCACAGCCTGCCCTGGTGGATGCCAGCTTCCTGGCCAGTGGCTTCCAGACTCCATACTGGCTCCTTACCTGGTTGGATGTTTTCTCTGATGATGGTGACATGCTGGTCTCTATCTGGCCGGGTGTGTTCATGCCAGAACCCAACCACATGGCCCAACTCGTGAGCCACAATGCCAAACTTGTCACAGTTTTTCCCAATGGATATGGCCTGTGGGCCTCCTCCTCGGCGCCCAACATAGGAACAACAGCTGGACAGTTGCAGAAATACCCAGGTTAGCAGGTCAGAGAATAGGAAGAGTCTAATGCCCTCCCCAATGTGTGTGTGTGCGTGTGTGTGCATGCACACACATATGTATCTAAAAGAAACAGACTTTCAGAGCTGAAAGCACTCTCATTGTCCGAGTTCCCTCCCAATACAGAAATTCCCTCCAAAAATGGTTCACCTTTTTGGTGGTCATGGGTCTACTTGAGAACCCAAGGAAAGATAAGGCCTAGATTCCTGAAATAAAGACCACACCCTTTCCAACCCCTGCACCCCCAAGTCTCTGCTGGATCATCTCTGATGACAAGGAAAAGAGATAATGAATGGAGTAAGCTGAGTTTCTGTGAAGGATGAGTCTTGATATCCTTATCAGAGAAGCCTTAGAAATGATTCCTCTTCTGGGCACAATTTTTTTTTCAAATAACATTTATTCCTAATATATTATTATATATTATTCCTAATATAGAAAGATATAAGAAATTAAAATTGCCCACAGTCCTACCGCCTTTACCACCCAGAAAACCTCTATCAAACATTAAAAAAAAATACATGGTTGGGGCACTTGGGTGGTTCAGATGGTTAAGTAAAGTGACTCTTGGTTTCAGCTCAGGTTGTGATCTCAGCGTTGTAAGATCAAGCCCATGTCATGTCCCACACTCATCAGGGAGTCTGCTTGAGATTCTCTCTTTCCCTCTGCCCTTACCCCTCCCCCACTCTCTCTCTTTCCCTCTCTCTCTCTCTAAAATAAATTAATCTTTAAAAAATATATTTGTTCAGAAAATTGAAGTATTAAGTCTCTCATCCCCTCTAATCTCTTCATCCAAAGATAACCATTGTTAACAGTGTCTCAGACATTCTTCATAAAAATTAGATATACATTTTTTAAAATTACAAAATGCACTATGTACATTGTCCTTCATTTTTTATATTTTTTCGTCCTTAATTTAGAGATCTTTTTATAATAGTGCATAAAGACCTCCTTCATTCTTTTCAAAGTACAATTAAATTTTATTTAATCAGGCTTCTAATAGTGTACATTTAGGCTGATTCCAATTTTTATTATTTAAACAAAGCCTCACGGGAGAGGAAGAGAAAACAAACAAATAATAATAAGGAAACCAAGAAACGGTTGGACTCTTGTTCATGTCAGGGTAAATTCCTAGCATTGGTACTGATAGATAAAAGGGTATATGCATTTGAGATTTCGATAGATATTATCAAATTGCAATCCCCAAATGTGTCTACTTACATGCCCACTAATAATATATTAAAAAGCCCTATTTCCCCACAACCTGGCCAACACTGGTTTTATCAAATATTTTTTTTGCCAACTAGATAGGTGAAACATGGTATTTCACCACATCAAGATTGGATAGTTTTCCATGTTTTTTTATTTTTTTTTTAATTTTTTTTTTAAGATTTTTATTTATTTATTTGACAGAGAGAGATCACAAGTAGACAGAGAGGCAGGCAGAGAGAGAGAGAGAGAGAGAGAGAGAGGGAAGCAGGCTCCTTGCTGAGCAGAGAGCCCGATGCGGGACTCGATCCCAGGACCCTGAGATCATGACCTGAGCCGAAGGCAGCGGCTTAACCCACTGAGCCACCCAGGCGCCCAGTTTTCCATGTTTTATAAGACATTTGTATTTCTCTTTCTTGTGAACTCTGCGATCACATCTTTTCCCTATGTTCTTTTGGGTTGCCCATCTTTTTATTATTGATATATAAGAACCCTTTATGAATTAAGGAAATGAGTCTTTTGATTGCCAAATATATTGACAATTTTTTTTTTCACTTTATTTCTTATTTGGCTTTTTGTTTGTTTGCTTATGTGTTGTTTTGGTTTTGTTTTCACCATAGAGAATTTTAAAATTTCAGTGTATGTAATGACTTCATTTTCTTTTGCTCTGCTTAGAAAGGCCATCTCTAGGCCAAGATTATAAGTAAACTTCACTCTTGTTTCTCTCTAATACTTTTTAAATTTCTTTTTTTTTTCTTTTCTTTTTCCTTTTAAAAATGTTTACATCTTTGATCCAGCTAGAATCATCTTGATGTAAGAAGTGAGGTAGGAATCCTGATTTTTTGTTATTTTTTTTAAGATTTTATTTATGTATTTGACAGACAGAGATCACAAGTAGGCAGAGAGGGAGGCAGAGAGAGAGAGAGGGGGAAGCAGACTCCCTGCTGAGCAGAGAGCCTGATGAGATGCGGGGCTCAATCCCAGGACCCTGAGACCAGAACCTGAGCCGAAACCAGAGGCCCAACCCACTGAGCCACCCAGGTGCTCCATCCAGCTTTGTTTTTTTCAAAATGAGCTCTCTACCCCACTGTTAAAATATCCAAATGACTAATATTGTGTCCAATATTAGTTAATTAATTAATTAATTAAAGTATCCAAATGACTAAATTTGTGTATAGGCATTTTCACTTTAAACTCTTTTGTTATGTTCTAAGTGGTCTTAATTATTATCATCTTCACTTGCATTTTAAACCCTAGATGTTTGACTAGACCATCAAACCTCTTCCCATAATCCCACACTACTTGTTCTCTGTTTCTCTCTCTGTGCCTCTCTTTCCACCTCCTCTCTCTCCCTCTCTGTCTCTCTCTGCCTCTGTCTCTGTCTCTCTCCTCTGTTGGCTATTTCTACATGGTCATTCCTCCAGATAAACTTTAGTATCATTTGTTAAATTTCTAAAAACATAAATACACATATACCTACATATGCATAAATGTAGATATTTGCATCACAATGGCATGCATTTATAAGTTATTTCAGGGAGTTGTGACAGCTTTACTATGTTAAGTATCCCTATTCAGGAAGTGGTATGCATTTCCATTTTTACTTTTTCTTTTTAAGTTTCCTTAGAGTTTTAGCATTTTCTTCCTATAGGTCTGGCATATTTTTGCATTTTTGTTAAGTTTATTCTTAGATGTATTATTTATTATGTTTCTATTAAAGTGATACTTTTCTTGTTACAAAAGTGTATCAAATTATTTCATTATAAGGAAAAGTAATTAATTTTCTTATTACATTTGTAATCAGTCACCTCATCAGGGTCTCCTTTTGTTTCTAAGTTTCTCAATTGTTTTTCTGGGTTTTGGGGTACATGTCGCATTAAGTTCAAACCATGCAAACATTGCTTTGCTCCTGCCAATACTTATTGTGTGTATTTCCTTCTCTTATCTAATTATATTAGCTAGCATTTTCCAAAATGTGTAAAATAATTGTGGTGATCATGAAGATCTTCGACTTGTTCCTGAGTCTAACAGAAACGCTTCTAGAATTATCATTGTTAAATCTGATGTGGGCTGTTGGGATACACACACACACACACACACACACACACACACACACACACACAGCTTTAGCCATATCTCTCTAACTTAGAATTGTAGGGCTTTTATTACCTGGATAAGTTATAATATTCATCCTGATTCCTTTGTGACCTAAATGTTGTACAAACAAAAAATGGAGCTTTTAACTTACTAGGTAATGCAGGGGTGTTTACTCTACTCTTTGTCATGATGTCCAGTCTCATTGCTTTGCAATCAGAGAACATGTTAATGCTCTTTCTGCCTTTGAGAATCCATCAAGGTGTGCTTCATGCTTAACCGATGGACAATGTCTATAAATGTTCAACACATGCTTAAGAAGAAAAGATCTGTTATCAGATTGCAGAATCTGATAGATCCATAGGATCAACTCTATTCTATTTCTCCAGTCCGCTACAAATCTCTACTCATTTTTTGGTCACCTCGACATTGATCTCTTTGGGTGGACAGAAATGAAATAAAGTCTCCTGCTGCTGGTGTTTCTGTCAATTTCCCCTTGAATTCCCTGGGACTGGTTTTATGACTCTTAATGCTGCACTGTTTGGTGCATAAAGATTTATGACGGTTATATTCTCACTGTAGCTTGGACTCCTTCTCATTATAAAGTGTCTCACCTTTTTCTTTTTCTTTAAAAAAAAAAAAAACACAAAACTCCCCTACTTTAAAAATGAAACAAAACAAGAATGAAAGGCCTTGTCTGTAACTAAAATTATGATCCTAACATTCTTTTTGTTGGCATTTGCCTGTGTGCCGTCTTTCCTTTTGCAACCTTTCTGGGTCATTCTCTTCAGTAGTCATTTCATGCATACCCCATGTAGTTGGGTTGAAGTATCTGAACCAGTATGGGAAACTTTTTCTTTCAGTAAGAGAGGACATCACACTTACATTTCCTGGCATAACGGCTAAGTTTAGTCATAATCCAGGCGCCTTATTATTTCTTATGTTTTCTGGAGGAGGTCTATTAGCCCAGGGAGCCCATAAAATTACATGCAGAATTTTGCATAAGCGTATATCCATCATGAGGAAGCCATAGCTTTGTCAGAGTCTCAGTACGATTGTGGGCCTCCAACTGGTTTGGAATCTCACTTCTCTATATGAAACACCCCAATTCCTTCAACTGCTCCCATGACAAGAGATCCAGACCCCTTGTCTTTCTAGAATCTTCTTCTTGACTGGCCTACTTTGTCCTGGGATTATGAGTTCATTGGGGGCAAGGGGAGTTTCTGACAAACCCTACGTTGCTATTTATCACAGCTCCTTGGAAATACTTGGTTTTACAGAGAAAATTCAACTGTCAGGAGCCATCAGATTTGTCTGGCTCTGGTTCCACTGAAGTGGACTTGCAGGCGCCTACTTACCCACAGGTTCTGTAACTGAACACAATGAAGCTCTCCTCGTCAGTCCTTTCTACAAAGGTCACACAGGTGTGCTTCTCCCAGTGTCTCATGGCCTGCTTGAAAATGGCCCTCTGGCTTCCTGAAATGACAGGGCAGGTCTCATCACTGTCCTGATGGGTCCTTGCCTCCCTCAGAGGCCATACGCCATGCTGATTCACAACGATGCTTTTTCCAATGAGAATTGGTCCCCCAGACTAGAAATGCGCTAGGAATAAGGATTTCCCTTGCTAAGAATATAAATTTCCTGAATTGCCAAAACTCAAGGAGGAAGAGTTCGTGAAGGGAAAAGAGGATAAAAGTAGATTTTCAGAATATCCCAGACTCTACAGTTTTTCCTTTGAATGGAGAGTACTTTCATCTAAACTTAAAACAAAAAAGCTTACCCAGATTATTCAACTGGAAAATTTTAGGCTTTTGAAGTAGCTCACCAGCATTGCATTCTGAGGCCTCATTTTATTTTCTATCTATAGGAGTATGGGTCCATATGCTCTCAAAAGTTTGTTTTCAGGTACGTTCATGCTACTTTTGCCTGGGGCTACAGTGTTTTCTGGTGGATCCTTGAGCCTCCTTTTCTACAAGCCCTTTGAAAACAGGTGAATTTCATGCCTTCTCTGAGCACATCTTCATATTTCCTTGAGTGGAAATGTGTTGAGAAATAGAACAGTAAGTAAACTGTCTGGGAGAAGAACAGAGTAGTTGTAAACTGGCTGATAGTTACTTACAGTCAATATATGTTCTCTAAAAGAAAACAATATATCAATCAGAGATAAAGAACAGTATTTTGATTTTCCTAGAAACAACGAGAAGGATCTAGAAAAATAGTTGTTTGGGGATTACAAAAAACAATTGGGGATGGTGTCTGAGTTCTAGAATGATCTTGTTGCCAAAAACAAGCAGAGCACTGGGGAGGCTTCCATCAAAATCTGGAAGACCTGGGTCATATTGCCCCCAAAAACAAGCAAACAGAATAAAGAATAACCTAGCTGTCCACTTTTTTTTTTTACATCTTGATATTTTTAGTTCAAATCATTTATAGCTCAATCACTCACCAAAATAGCAATCCCACAAATTACAGCACAAGAAAAACTACCACGTTAAGAGAGTTCTCTATATAAGGGCGCCTGGGTGGCTCAGTGGGTTAAGCCGCTGCCTTCAGCTCAGGTCATGATCTCGGGGTCCTGGGATCGAGTCCCGCATCGGGCTCTCTGCTCAGCAGGAAGCCTGCTTCCCTTCCTCTCCCTCTGTCTGCCTCTCTGCCTACTTGTGATCTCTCTCTGTCAAATAAATAAATAAAATCTTTAAAAAAAAAAAAAGAGTTCTCTATATAAAATTAGCTAACTTTGATGAAGGTTGTATAAATCTTTGGTCAAAAAAGCACACCACATCTCAAAGAGTGCAGTTAAGCACCAGGGAACAAAAGTCAACGCATTTCAGGTAATGGAAAGTACTGTAAAGACTAGAAAGTGGAGTGCTGAGAACAAGTGGCCAGTGGGATATTGGGGGTATCAGGGAGGCAAAGAGGCCTTTCTGGGGATGTGTCATCTGATCTGAGATGCAGTGATAAGAAGAAACCAAGAGAAGGTCTGGGGAAAGAGTGTTCTAGGCAGATGGAGGGCGGGTGCAGGTGTGTTAAACCGGGAATGAGCTGGGCATGTTCCAGAAGGGAAAGGTGCCTGTGATGTCAGCACACAGGGACTGGGGAGAAGAGAGCAGGAGCAGGGTAGGAGACTGGGTGGAACAGGGGGCCAGGGCTGACCTTGGAGGCCATGGTCAGCAGTTTCAGTTTCACTAGTAGTGATGGGAAGCCACTGGCTGACCTACGTATTTTAAAGATAATGATACCAATAGCAAATAATTACTAATTACTATGTGCCAGGTACTATTTGAGTGCTTCATCTAAATTAACTCGTTTAGTTCTCAAAACAACCCTGTGAGCTAGAAAATAATATCATCCCCACTTCCAGAAGAGGGACTTAACCTGGCGAGGTTAAGTACCTTCCCACAGGGGGTACTGCCGGCGAGCAGTACTAGCCGGGACTAGCCACATCTAAGGGCCCACTCTGCTTACCCTGCATATTGCTGCGGGGATGTGACCGGTGCGGGTGCCCACCCAGGCAGAAGACAGGTCAGCCATCCTGTGTGGCTGCTCACAGCTGCCTTTGGCCTGGAGGGCTTTGCTCACCTACCCATTGTGCAAACCCTGTCCCTCTTTTAAGACCGGGATCATGTGTCACCCCCGCATGAAGGCCTGGGGACTAGGTGACCACCATTGAGGACACAGTCCCAGCAGAGACCACAGTTTTGCCAGGCTTAGAGCACTAGCCCTGAAGGCATAATGGAGCACCAGCAGGTAGGACGGCCGTGTCCCAGGCTCTGCTCCACTCCCTGGGGAGGACACAGCCCCAAAGGAAGTCTCCTCTGGGACTACTGACCGGTGAAGTTCCCACCGATGACGTAGGGGATGACCCCTCCAGGCCATATTCTCTCTGTCCTCGAGGTTGTGGCTCTTCGGACGCGTGGAGAAAAGGTCTCAGCTCGGGCATCCGAGGTCCGGGGCCTGTGCAGGAGCACGGCATTGTCCTCGCCATCTGCAAGAGAGGCACGCTGCCATTTACTCTGCCTTTAGTTCCTTCTGTCCATCATGGTTAAGACTATATTATCCGTGAATCCACAAAGAACATGTGTTCTAAAGGGGGTATTCGGTCTGCTCGGGGTTTTGAGCCCCTGGGTGTCAGGAAGGGTGCCGGGGCTACGACAGAAGCAGGCTGGCTTGCTGGAAGCCTTGAACCACACCCTGTGAGGCTCCATGGTAGCCCGAGAGAATCAAGCAGGGACCGAACAAGGCATCCTTTGGGATGGAGCCGAGTCAGGGATGCGCTCTCTTCTCAGCACTGGGAATATCGGAGGGAACTTACTGAGCCAATCTCCATCCCTCACCAAATGCCCATCAATGCTGCAAATGTGGAAAATAATTTGGCCAGTGTGACAAAGTGAACCAGCTTGCGATGGTTCAGATACTCTTTGCAAGATGAGCCCCTGGAAAAAGCAGCGCCTCATAAAATCCCCCAGCTCTTCCCAGTCTCTTGGCACAGCTGGACCTTTAAGAGAGGGAGGTGGAAAAGAAGTGGAGGCCCTGTTAAGGTTCTGAGTCCACCCTGGAAATAGCAGAGACAGACAGGTGGGGTAGAATCACTTGAACCTGTGGCGCCCTAATCATCAAATCCACGTTCATTTTTTCCATCACTCAGACAACATAAGCTTTTGTTTTCAGTCTCCTTGTGTAGATTCCCTCATTATTCTGACTTGGAGCATTTTCTCTTCAGTTTCTATATCTTTTCCCCAAAAATCAGCTTTTTGATTTTTTTTATCACTTTCATTTTTTAATATTCATTAATTTTATTTCTTTTATTACTCCCTTCCATTTGCACTTATTTTATTCCAATCTTTCCTTTCTATCTTCTTTTCTTTTTTTAAAAACTGGAGATATAACTCACACACCATAATAGACATTCTTTTAAAGTATAAAATTTAGTGGTTTTTAGTATATTCACAAAGTTGTGCAACCATCAGCACTACAGAACTCCACAACATTTTCATCACCCCAAAAAGAAAGATATTAGCAGTCACTCCCCATTTCTAGCCCCTGCCCCAGTCCTTGGCCACTAGTCATCTACTTTCTGTTTCTATGGATGTGCCTATTCTGGACATCTCACACAAATGGAATCAGGCGATTCCTTAGCATGTTTTCAAGGTTCATCTGTATCATACCATGTATTCGTACATTGTTATATTTTATGGCTGGATAATATTCCATTGCATGTATCTACCACATTTTGTTTATCCATTTCTCAGATGATGGACATTTGGGTTGTTTCTACTTTTTGGCTATCACGAATAATACTAGTATGGGCATTAATGTACACATTTGTGTGTGAACATATGTTTCCTGTTCTCCTGGATATGCACCACAGACTGGAATTGTTGGGTCATACGAGAACTTTACATTTAACAACTTTTTGAAGAACTAGCAGGCTGCTCTCCAAAGCTTCATTTACATTCCCATCAGCAATGTATCAGGGTTCCAATGTCTCCATATACTTGTCAACACTTGTTATTGTTAAGCTTCTTGATTATAGCCATCCTAATGGGTGCTGGCATCTCAATGTGATTTTGATTTGCATTTCCCTAGTGACTACTGATGCCAAACATCTCTTCATGTTCTTATGAGTCATTTGCATATCTTCTTTGAAGAAACATGTATTCAAGTCCTTTGTCTATTTCTTTTTTTTATTTTTTTTAAAGATTTTTATTTATTTTTTTGACAGAGAAATCACAAGTAGGCAGAGAGGCAAGCAGAGAGAGAGAGAGGAGGAAGCAGGCTCCCTGCAGAGCAGAGAGCCCGACGCAGGGCTTGATCCCAGGACCCTGAGATCATGACCTGAGCCGAAGGCAGAGGCTTAACCCGCTGAGCCACCCAGGCGCCCCCCTTTGTCTATTTCTTAATTGGGTTGTCTTTTTACTGTTATAATTATTCTTTGTATATTCTGGATACCAGACCCTTATCAGACATATGACTTCCAAATATTTTCTCTTATTCTGTAGGTTATCTTTTCATTTTTACAATAGTATCCTTGGAACCATAAAAGTTTTAAATTTTGATGAAGTCCAATTTATCCTTTTTTTTTTGTTTCTTATGGTTTTTGTGCCATATTTTAGAAATTACAGCCTAATCCAACCTCACAGAGATTTATATCTATGTTTATACCTATGTTATATCTATTTACATCTACAGTTCTATAGTTTTGGTGCTTATATTTAAGTCTTTAATCATTTTGAGTTAATTTTTATATATGGTGTGAGGTAGGGGTCTAGTTTTATTCTTTTGCCTGTGAATATCTAGTGTTTCCAGCATCATTTGTTGAAAAGATTAGTTTTTCCCCTATAGAACTGTCTTGGCACTCTTGTAACAAATCAGTTAGCCATCCTCTTCTGGCTTCTTGAGTTGAATGTTTGGCACATAATTTTCAATTTTTCTTATATTCTACTGTTGAAATTTTTAGGCTAAAATTTCTCTGAGTTCCTCTTTAGCAGCATTCCATCATTTGACATGTATATGTCAATGTTAGACATTGATATATTCTGTTAGCTCCAGTTAGACTTTCTTCTTTGATCTTTTAGTTATTTAGAAGTGTGATTTTTAAAATCCCTAAATATTTGTTTCTCTGTGGGTGTTAATGATTTCTAACATTGCTTTGTGTTCCAAGGACCCATTCTCCAAGGTGGGGGTCAGCAATCTTTTTCTGAAAAAGGACAATAGTAAATATTTGAAGTTTTGTAGTTAATACATTCTCTGTTGCAATCAACCAGCTCTGCCACTGTAGTGTGACAGCAGCCATAAACAATATGTAAATGAATGGGTATGGCTGTGTTCCAATAACAGCTTATTTGCAAAAACAGATGGCAGGCTGGATTTGGCCTCCTGGCTGTAGATGACTAGCCTATGCTCCAAGGTATCGATTCTTTGGTATTCTGAATCTTCCTTTGCAGCCCAGTACATGATTGGTTTTTATAAATGTCCCAAATGTCCTTGGATAATGTGTATTCATTTCTATAATTGATGGTTAAAGGACGCTACATATGTTATTCACATATTCTACCTACAACTATTTTGGCTCTTTAGTGTATCAGTTACTGAGAAAAGTGCTTTAAACAACCCTGACAACTAACATTGTGGACTGCCATTTTCTCTTTTATTCTTAATTTCTGCTTTGCATTGTTCAAGGCTATGTTGTTTAAGTAATACAAGTAAAGGACTGTTAAATGTTCCCAGTGAATTATTTCATCATTAATGACCCTCTTTACCTGTAATAGTGTTTATCCATAATAAAGATTATTTTGGCTGATATGAATATTACTATGTCAGTTAAATTTTGATTACTGTTTGCCTCATAGAGCTTTTTCCACTCATTTATTTTCGATCTTTTTATGTAATTATGTTTTTTTAAATGAGTCATTCAACAGGCATTATTCTGTGAGTAAATTACATTTCCTACAACAATAACACAAATTTTGCAATGGTCTTATGATTGAGGTTCAATTTTTTAATTATATATGAAATCGTTTTTGTAAATTGAAATTTTTATTGATATAGATTCACATGCAGTTGTAAGAAATAATTAAAGATTTTGTGTACCCTGTACTCCATTTCTCCCAATAGTAACATTTTATAAAACTATAGTACAATATCACAACTGGGATATGGACATTACTGTACTCCACTGATTGCATTCAGATTTCCCCAGCATCATGTATACTTGTGTGTGTGTGTGTGTGTGTGTGTGTCTGTGTGTGTGTGTGTAGTTGTATGGAATTTTATCACATGTATAGGTTTATCTACCACACTTTCAAGATACTGACCAGTTGCATTACCATAAGAATCCTTCATGTTGGCATTTTATAATCCTATCCACATCCCTGCCCCTCTCCTGTCTACAGCCCTGCCCCTCTCCTCTCCTCTATCCCTAAACTCTCAACCACTAATCTGTTCTCCATTTAGAAAATTTTTCATTTGAAGAATATTACATAAATGGAATTTAACAGTGTATCACCTTTGGGAATTGGCTTTTCTTATTTGGCACAATTCCTTGGAGATTCATCTGGGTTGTTTTATATATCAGTAGTTTCCTTCTACTGCTGAGTCATATTCCATGGTATTCAGGTACTACCACTTGTTTTAACCATTCACCTGAGAAAAGATATCTGGGCTGTTTCCTGGTATTACAAATAAAGCTGCTATGAACATTTGTATACAAGTGTTTGTGTGGAAATAAACTTTTATTTCTCTGAGATAAATACCCAAGAGTGGAATTGCTGGGTTGGTAGTTGATGGTAAATGAGTTGATTTCTGGATTCTGTATTGTGCTCCATTGAACTATGTGTTTATCCCTCTGCTAAGAGACATGGTCTTGATTACTGCAGTTATATAGTAAGCCTTAGTAACTGGGAGAGGGATTACTCCCATTTTAGACTTCTTTTCTATGATTGTTTTAGTTATGTTTCCATATAGAGTCTATGGCTGTCCGTATAGATTTTAGAATAAAGTTGTCTCTGTCTACAAAAAAAACATGCTGGGATTTTGATAGGAATTACATTAAAACAATAGATCAGTTTGGAGATAACTTTACCTTTACCATATTCAGTCTTCCAATCCCTGGACATAGTATGTCTCTCCATTTATGTAGGTCTTTCTTGATTTCTTTCATCAGTCTTGTGTGATTTTTAATATATAAATATTGTACATGTTTTTTAAAAATGTATAGGAGTTTCATTTTCTTTGGGTACTTATAAATTGTATTGTGTTTTAAATTTTTATTTCTGCATAATTATTCTTAGTATATAGAAATGTAAGCAATTTGGGGGTTTGGGCCTTGTATCTGCCATGCTAAATTCACTTACTAGTTCTAAGTTTTTGTTTTGTTTTGGTTTTGTTTTTGTTTTTAAGATTTTATTTATTTTTTTAAGATTTTATTTATTTATTTGACAGAGATCACAAGTAGGCAGAGAAGCAGGCAGAGAGAGAGAGAGGGAA